TTTAGGTCACCCTGTATATTTAAGCCTCTCTCTGTCCATGTAATCCAGTTGCCTCTGAAGATGTCTTGAATAAAGACGAAAGCTAAGGTACTCCGTTGTTTCCATTTTCCCGTGTGATTTTATCAAGATTTATCTTATCCACGTTTTCATTGTGGATTTACATGAATATATATATATATATATATATATATATATATATATATATATATATATATATATATATATATATATATATATATATATTAGTGCATGATTAATAATTAATTTTATTTTTTATGATAATGTTAATATTTACATGTAGCATGTTAGATGAAATATTATAATACATGAGTAACCAAGACAACTTGAATTTTTGGTTTTGTGTTTATTTCAATAAAGATAAACAATAAGAATGCCTTCTAGTAGCCAAGAACTCTACTGAAAACAAGGTCATTTATTCACCAAATTTATGTAGTGGCATGACAGGTGATTCATCACTTGCAGTAATTGTATGATAATTGTGCAAGCGAAAAGATTTTGTCTTTTTCTTCAGGCAATGGAGTATGCATGAATACATACATAAATGAAGATTAATAGAGTATCTTTGGAATATATATATATATATATATATATATATATATATATATATATATATATATATATATATATATATATATACAGTATATATATATATATAAAATGTACCAAAGATTACAGTATATATGAAAGATAGGAAAGCGACTATCCCTACCATTAAAAAAAGATGTGCGGTCTAAATCACCCTCTATTGAGCTAGTGCATCACTATCTTTTTTAACGATTGCTAACGTGCCAATTTTAAATATGAAATGTGCTTAAAATATGTTCTAACCAATTTTATATTTTCTCCTTATAATACATATAAAATGTAAAAATTTTGTTGTTCACCTTGCCATGCTATAATATGTTACTGGAAGAATTGTTACTCCCTTTAATTTGTATTCATGTTTGGAACATATTTTAGCATATTTTTTTGTGTGAATCATATAAATACCCTATTTAATGAATTCATTGAAGTCAACTGAATGCCAACTCATTTTCTATGCTTCAGAATATAATATGTTCCATTGTTTTTGTTTTTTTATTATACGTAACAGTATGACACGGGTGCCGAATAATTTTTTAGTGGGTGTACATAGTATAATACAAACCTCGGTTAATATCTGGACATGCATTTTTACAACGCCTTCCCTGCAGTATAATTGCCTTCGGAAAAATTATGGTTGCATAATCTGGTGTTTTTGCTTATATTTTCTGGGCTCTTTCCATTAAGTTTCTCAAGCCCAGTACTTGTATCCATTGCAAGCACCTGTAAATAATATTTAAAAATCAGATTCTACTTTACCTGCAGGGAGTTTTCACATTGTTTGTAAATATAATGATAAATAAACCAGTCACATCATATGTATGTACAGTACTATAATTCAAAACTGTGCTCCTACCTTTCTTTATCCTTTGGGAATGAATGGTATATAAATTGGGATGATCTTTCTTGGTTCTGCTGCATGACACGCACCGGTGTTCTCTTGCTGCCATCTTGACAGTAAATGAATTTCGCGGTCACGTGACATAAACAAACTAAAGTCTTTGTGACGACAGTTGTTGCACACTGGAGCCATCTATTGTTTTGGCTCGGCACTTTTTGGGACCCAGCTAGCACATCATTTCAGTCCGCTTTTCTATCTTTCGAAAATAACATATAGCATATAGTTGACCGCAGGATCAACAGATGGCGTTAGTATGCATGGCGCAGGTCGTCTGTTTGTTTACACGAAGACCGGGACATTTAACCATGCCAGCAGCAGTGAGGTGGATGACTCGGCCAACAGTAATGAGGCAGATGACACCGAGATTTCTGCTGATTGGCTGGGCATATAATGAAATGAGTAAGAAGTCAACAATATATCCCACAAACATTTTAGTGTGAACTTAAAACCCTCCAAATGGTACAATCTCGTTCAAGATTCTCGAACACTGCTGGAGACAGCTGGCAACTCAAGGCCATTTGTTTACTATTGTACGTAGTATAATATAAAGTAATATGAAACAACAAAGCCCAACCATTAATTAAGCAACAGGAAACTAAGTAACCAATCATCGATAACCTTTTACATTCATTCATAAATTTTACCACATACTATAGTAAACAAACGGCCTCGAGTTGCCAGGTGTCTCCAACAGTGTTCGAAGAATCTTGAACAAGGCTGTAGCCTACCTACTTTCTTAATGGAAATAAAAAATCTTAATGCAGGTATGGTTTTGAAAACCATCCATTAAGTGAATATTTGTACATCAATTGATATAACAAAAGAGAAAAAATAGGATTTGGTTCATCAATGACAAGAAAAACAATATTATACTTAGAAAAAATCAAAGATTCACAAACAACAACAAAAAAACCTAACTATTGTAAATTCGTACTTAACTACAATAGTTAACTAACTACAAGAAAATCCCCAATGTATACTTAAAAAACAATGAAAGCAGTTCACAAACAACAAAAACCTACTTAACTTCTGTAAATGAGTATACCTAATTTCTGTAATTTTGTACCTACTACTGTAACTTAATCCCTAAGTACTGTAATTTAGTACCTAATTAATGTAATTTAGTTCCTAGCACACTAAGAAATTAATGGACAGGACAAAAGCAAGCCAACCTGTTATCACATCATTTGAGCTGCCTGCATCATAAGCCCAAGAAGACAGCATCTGCTGCTGGTGAGTGTCTGTCCATGCGAGAACAGCGAGATGTGTACTGTAGTTTAAACTCTCAGAAAACTTCCCCAGTACAGTACTGTACCCTGAAAAATTCCAGGGAAGAGAAAATTTAGCTCCATACCCTGTAATCCCGGCACCATTTATTCCGGCTAATGAGAATATCACGATATCACTATATTTAAGGAATTAGGGACATATTATGGCCACCCTGATAACCTGACCATACATCTCCAAATATTTTTTTATGGGCTACTTAAACTCCAAGCTCTATGCAAATAGACACCATCAGAAACAAAAGTCAGATTTCTTCTGAAACACTTCAAGAAGTTACGGATAATTTCTTCCACTGCCGTGAATGCATACGTTACAATGAAAGTTGCCCGACATCAGTCATTTTCAAGAAATGAAGAAGTGTGAATTTCACCACTAATACTATGCTGTGTTGTTCTAAATATTTGGTATCCTAAAGTTATGCTGGGTTCTTCAAAATATTTGGTATCCAAATACAGTAAAACAATCAACAAAGCAAATGTGTCCATGAATTAATTATCACCATGTATATTTGAGAATTTTTTAAAAAAGAAATACAGTAAAAAACAATTCAAATCTTGCAAACTGGTTATGTATGATTTAAACAATAAAGATTACATGTCTTTATCACAGGTTGGCATCACACTGGCGAGGAAGAGTCGAGAATGTGTCTGTGTGACAGTGAGGTGAGGTCGACAGTATGGTACAAGGTAAACAACACTGATTTGTAGGCAGTATGAAGTATGATACACTTGTTTTATGTTACCTATTACTATTTACAAGAAGCGTGGCAGTCAAGTGGATACAGTGCTCGCCTGCTGTTCCAGGAGTCATTGGTTTGATTCCTGGGTGCTCCCAGTTCACCCAGCTGTAAATGAATACAGGTTGAAAACCCTTTGTCCGAAATTCCGAAAACCGAAAGTTTTTTGTGGAGCAATTTTTTTTTTTTTTTTAAACAGAAGCTACAGAGAGGCTTACAGGTGTAAACAGGTGAAAGATAAATGCCTACTTGGCAACATACTCTAGCTAGGCCCACGTGTTAATTAAAAACGTACCACAAAATTACAATACAGTATTATATGTTATAGTAGTAGGCAGCTACCAAACGGAGATACTACTGCCTGAGAAGATATTGGAAGCATAATGTATTGTCTAATGGTAGATCCTGCTGCCATATGGTATCACAAAAATTGTGACCAAGTCCCAGATGGCTGATCTGACTTTCTGCCTCATTTACACACAATTGCAGGGTCTCAATTGTTTCTCTTACTATTGACAACACAACACATATTGTTTCTCACTTTTGATCTTTTTTTTTCATTTTTGTATTTATGGTTCTTTATTTTTATTATTATTAGAGTTATTTTCATCATTTTATTTTTATTTTTTATTATAAATTTTATTTACTATGAATTATTATTGTTATTATTATTATTACATTTTCGCCCCCTAGGCCCCGATGTGGGTCAGTGACATGTGCCTGGGTGGGCTAATCCCCATAAAAAAAAAATGTGAACCCCCATTAGCACGTCATATATGAACTAAAACCTGGGGGTTAAAAATATCTTGTGTCATTAAAAGTAAATTTGGGTATAATTTCTATCCTGAGGAATATATCTGATATACAAATGGAAACCTTTCACAAATTGAGGAATCCCTCTAAATTTAACCCTTTAACATAAATTGCAACCAAAATGTAGGCACTGGGTAGTGAGCAAAACAAAAATAAAGGAGATAAAACAACATAGTCCCCCAAGTATTTTCATCTCAGCCAGATATCTGAAGTCAGACAACTAAACAGCAGGGCAGCCTGTTGACATTTGCTCCCTGCTAGATACCAACTCCTCCTTATGGTGTACTTAAGCCACAAAGGCTCTTTTTATATTTCACATATAAACTAAACAGTCCAAAATTTGAGAAAGCAAGTCAATTGGTGCCTAGACATAACCTGACACCTAGATTGGTGCAGTGTTTACGTGAAATGCTGCATTAGACGTCTTGCTCACACAAGTGCATCAGCACTAACCTTCTCATAATGATGATGATAGACATGGTTAATCAAACAGAATATGCCTAAATCTTCATGTAGCCATGACCATATATGCTAGTGAAGTTGTCAGGAAAAATTCCTGACAATTTTTTATGGATTCAGGTTGTTATCTAGCTCTGGTAATTTCACAGTCCTCCTAACTTCATAACAAAATACACACAGCATTATGGCAATGAAACAACCTTTTATCTACTTCAAATTTATTATATACTGTTTCACATTCCTACTGATATGTAAAACATTTTTACTGTATAGAAAGTCTTCACAAGTGTGAATGTAGGTTCCATAGGCATGACTGCCCATTAGGGACAGTGTGGAGACAGCACACTGTACACTAAGCCTTCAGTACACAAGGAGGCAGCATGGCCAGTGCTACTCTCGACCGCCTTCATTCCCCAGTTGTAAACTCAGGTACCCATTTACAGCTGGATGAACTGGGAGCGCCCAGGAAAAGACCATTGACCCCTGGAATGGGAGTCAAGTGCTGTATCCACTCGACCGCCGCACTCCTTTTAAAGGTGTACAGACAAGATTTGACACATGCACACACTGTACAATATCCTAAAAGTAAACATAACCCTAAAATTATCCATTATGCGAGATATTTGAACCTTATGTTTTGTCCGGGTTTCACCCAGGGCAACTTAAGAAATGAATGAAGTGAATATATTGGATAAAATAAAATAAAAGAACTTGCATAACCTTTGTACCACAGGGCAAAATAAACTGCTTTTTTTGCTACTATTGTATGAAGCCTTATTACTGTACCACAATGTACCAAGGTTGTAAATATAAAATATAAACTACTGTTAAAAAGTTATTTTACCATGTTACACAATAAAATGAACATTAAAATTGGTAGCCACACTTATCCTGTATTATAAATAGAGTTGCTTCTGTAAAATATATCTCAAACATACATTCAGAAGACTCAGCTATCCACAAGAAGTCTCTCTCCCACTTCTTCCAACCTCTATGGATAGTAGGGAGTTTACTGTAGTGTACTTACATTCTGAACCATACACTACTTTTTTGTTTACCTTTGTATAATTATTTATAATTGCAATGTATGTACAGTATTTTTATTAAAAGGAATACTAGATTTTCTTTAATAAATCTATATAGCTATTAAGTCTTACAAATCTTGACATAGCAGCTACATATTATTTTAAGATAGCTCATATTAATAATAAATGGATGGAGGGCAACTATATTTCTTGAATGGAAGAGAAAAAATGTGCAGGTGTCCATGTAATATCCACCAATGAAACTAAATACTGTACAGTACTCATTAAATTCAAAGCACATCTTCCTAATAACTGTAGCTTCCCTAAATATTGCATCTAATTAATTTTGACTGCTGCTGATTGACAGTAGAACTGACCTTATAACAAACATTGAAGGACTTTTTTGGCGAGTCGAACTTTCAACCACTACTTACAGAACTAATGATATGCATGGTACAGTACTTAAAAAACCAAATTCTACCTTCTAGGAGGTCCTCATTATCCGAGGCTATTAGGGACTGGAAAATTGCCACTTACAGCGGGGAATTTCTGGCCATAAGACATAATGGAAATAGGGTTTGAGTGGGACCATAAAATACTAAGTGACACTAAAAGGGATTACTTTTGTTTTATAATTTTTACTTGGGAATCTGAACAGCATGTAAAATGTCTATCATAAGTTCACTACTTTTCGTCCGACGAATAATGTCTAATTCATGTTCAGTCCATAGCTGCTATGCTTCCTTTTATGGATAGCACTCAGTTTAGCACTACATTTTGAACTCATGGCTCAAAGAATTGCAATGATTTTTCAAGAATTCGCACAAAAAAAAGAAAGAAAACCGTGGGAGATTAGACACTGTATTTGGTGAGCAGCCACCCAGCTGACTCCAAGCACACTGCTTCCACAAGCCCAAACATACACACCCACAGTCTTAATTTGTCTATTTTATCGTTTATTTTATATTTTCTTTAATTCTAAGCCACATTAGAGTACAGTACTGTATTGTTGCATTTATTCCAACTTTTATAGTTTCATTAGATGTAACAATGGCAGCACGCCACCTCAACACAAGTTAACCTCCTCTCAGTGAGTCAAGCCACAGCTAAACCGAATTTTGACTTAACGATAATTATTGCATGTTCTTGTAGGCACATCCTGGTATCTAAACCATCATTTGTCTCCAGGAATTTAGATAAAACAAATTGCACTGTATTGGGAATAAATGGTGGTATAGCGGATATTATTCCCCATAAATGTGGGGACTTTTTATGTATAATTCAGCAACAACTTTGCCCTGTAAATGTGAAACCACGGATATTGAGGAACCCCTGTGTGTGTGTGTGTATATATATATATATATATATATATATATATATATATATATATATATATATATATATATATATATATTATATAATTTGCTAAAGCAACTCATACTGTATACAGTAAATGTCTTTTGTCAAATATTTTAGTTACTATATCTTTCAAAACATTCTTCTATTAACCAATTATATAATTTCAGAGTTAACCATTTTCAGGAAAACTGATGCAATAAATAAATGTAATCTTATGAATTAACTTTCACTTTATTTTCAATGCACTATACAATGGCCAATGTATGAGCTTCTAAGAAAAGTTTGATGGGGGTCATGCTAACCACTAAATTAAAGAAATGAGCAATGACCTTAAATGTTACCTCAACACAAAACAACAAATTCAATCTTGTTTATTTAAAATCTAAAGGATAGCAAACACCATGTGACAAAATGAATCAAAGGCATAGTTAATGTGAGGTAAGCAGAAATTATAATATCAAACTGTACATTTAAAGGGAAAGGTAGTACCAGTAGCTGTATGATAATACTCCATAAGAATTGACTAATGGTTCTTTACCAATGCAGGGAAGTTTCTAGGGCATCTTTTCAGGTTTACATATCATTGTTTAAAGTTCTCTCTTTGTCAGAATACTCACAATTTGCCTTACTTAAGACTTCTTGGAGTAATTTTAAGTAAATCACCAAGAAAAGAATTTACCCATTCTATCACTAGTTTTGTGAACCCAATATTTTTCTAGATCTCGTATTTGTCTCCGACGGGGCCAACTTTTCCTGGCTGTTGCTTAGGTACAAGCTGGGCTGCTTCAGTTCCCGCTTTTTCGTACTCCCTTGGCGTGATACTTTGGTATTCTCCTTATTATCCTGAAAAATTATATGATGCATTATTTACTGTATGCATGTACTGTAATGTACTATCAAATTGTGTTTTGAGGATTCCCACATTGGAATGTATTTCAGCTTTTTAATGAGAGTCAATGAAAAAATGAGATCTGATTTGATTTTTTCTCTCCAGGAACAGAATCTTTTTTGTAAACTGAGAAAAGCCTATACAATACTTGATTTCAGAAGAATAAAAATTTTACCATTTTGGCTCAAAACATACTAACGGGTTAGGAAGTTAAACACTGCTGCTTAGAATGGCCATTTTACAGGACCTAGAAATGTTTTTTATTGGTACCCTGTATATTAATATTTTTTTTCTTTAGGATATTGAAATTCCATAGTCTACACTCTTTAAACTCCTACTTTTCAAAGGGTTGAATCTCATATTAATCTGCTGATTTCTCCAATTGATTCTTAATCTTCAATTCCAATATCCTACTGTAAAATTAATCTACATTTAGCACCCATACCCATTTATTAACCATATACATTCTCTCTATTATTTCCCTTTTATATTGTAATACTGTAAAGGCAGTCCTCAAGTTATAAATGGGTTACGTTCCTGGACTTTGTTCATAAGTCGGAACAGTGTTAATTCCACAGTTTAAGTTAGGTTAAAGCACAACCCTGCCCATAAAAAACAATAATAGTATCCCATACATAACTAATAATGTAAATACAATAAAGTTATGTTAAACAATACAGAACAATGAAAGAAATATACAAAAATGGAATTTTAGTTGCTCATTTTTGTGATGAATATATTGGGATGCTGTTTGTAAGTCAAGGACTGCTTGTACTATTATTGAATCCAACCTGTGTTTTGGCAGGTAAACCTCTCACACTTACTACATGAAAGTAACTACTGTATCATTTCTCAAATTTTCTTCAACATAGAATATAAATTCACCTGTTGGAACCTCTTCACACAACTCGTTCTTACAATACAGTAATGCTTTATTTATCTCACATCACTCAGCCCACAATCACACATGTGTCTCAACCACATCCCAGGCATTTAAATAAATTCCAAATGAAATCTTAATGAATAAAAAGACATTCAAGTACTCTGCACACATTTTCTCAAGCCATACTGTTGGTACTTTCTATAAAATTAGTAAGGAGTTAAATGGAATAGTTCTGGTGACTGTAAGTGCCCAGCTAACTTATCACATGCAATATCCCTGGCTGGACTTCAGCAGCCTAGGAATGCCAAGGCATAGTTTATTTGAATCTTATGTTTATATGAAAAAATAAATAAATAACTGCAATTACAGTGATTTAATCACATTATTTAAATAACTATTTTTAATTTAGGTGCAAGAATTATAATTACCTTTAACACACGGTTTGAAATTATAAAATAACATTGAGTTTATCATGAACTTCACAGAAGGAACATATAATCTTTCCCACGTTAATTCAGAAAAGATAAAACAAAATGGGAGTGATATGTTATAGTAATACAGTCTCTTCTCGACTTACGACGGAGTTCCGTCCTGACGACCAGGTCGTAAGGTGAAAATAACACATAGAAATTCTAATATGGGCGTATCTTTTTCTTCTCAGCACAACAAGAACTCTCACTTTTACGCTTGTCAGACATTTTAAAGGGAATTACAAACAAAAATTTTGTCAGTACACAGAGCAATCACTAACGTCGGGACTTGAAAATACGTAATGTTAAAAATATTTTATACGACCATGGCCGTCGTATGTCCGGGTTGTCGTAAGTCGAGGAGAGACTGTATCTCCGTTAGCCAGAATCCCTCAAATGCAAAACTCTCTGATAGTCGGAACAGAAATTTTTGCCAGAAAATCGTTCCCAAAGCTGGAATTTTCTGGAAATTCCGGATTTAGAACGATTTTCCGAGGGGCACATTTTCCGGAAAATTCCGAGAACATTTTTCCAATAGGTGCACGGAAAATTCAGGGGATGGGGGGAGTTCTTTTCCGGATTTGAGATGAAAACCAGGCGCATTTTCCAGAAATTCCAGGATCGATAGATGATGCAATGGGCACTTTCTGGAACTTCTGAGAAAAATTTTCCATTACTGTACTAGGAAAATTTTGGGGGATGAGGGATTTTTTCCGGTTTTGAGAGTCATCTTGTTACCTGGAAATCTCTCATTCCCGGAAGTGCTCTGCACCACTTGTTCCGGCTAACAGAGATATCACTATTTTAGAGTGGCAGAAAACATTATTACTGTAATACCATACTTGGACCAAGAACAGTATTGAAAGTAACTTCGTATCCTTTAATTAATGTAACTATAGAAAAACCAGTTTCAAATTGTCTTGAGATGAGATACTGTACTAATTAATTCGATCAATTAAAAGCATATGAAACTGTCATCATATAAATCAATAAATGTCAAGTCTAAAGCTTCAATAAATGTTGCCTATATTATATTAGGGTTCCTTACCTTGGTATCAGTGAGGGAAGATGATGAAGAGGAGCGGGAGAGGGGAATGCCAGAATCTTCCCGTTGTAGAGGTGGATTGGGTATGAGGAATTTCATAGTGTCACCCTAAAACAATATGATTAAAACCACTGTAAAATATCTATATAATTAAGACTATTACTCTTTGTCTAGAAATTACAGAAGCATAATGCATTAACTTCCACACACTATGGTTTTTAAACAGAACATTAAGTTACAACAGAAAGAGTTCATTAGCCCAGGCTCCCCTATTGTACAGGGGGCCCCCCAAGTTCGCAGATTTTTACTTCACGGTTCTTGGTTATTCGTGGATGACACCTTGGATGTACCCAAGAATGTCAGTGGGTAGTTTTAGAGTTGATGGCATTTTTGAGGCTGGGACAGGGAGGTTAGAGCTTGGAAAATTTGGGTGAACTATTTCGTCAGGTAAAGATGGTAAATGATTTCATTGTTGACCATGATCCTCCCATGGAATGCAGCCTTAAGATGGTCTGAGGAATAAACCAGGTATTGCTTCCCTATCAGGAAAAGTTTCAAGACCTCAAAGCAAACAAGAAACAACTATCAATCATCATGTTTTTCAAGAGAGAACCTGCTACTACTGCCACGGCTCCACCCGCCTCCCAGCCACTTCACCAACCACCACTGCATCACCCTCTTCCAACAGTGATCCTCATGATCCACCTAAGCCTCAGTAACCAGATGTCTCCCTATGTACAGTGCACCACTTCATCAAGCTCCAAACTTCCACATAAAGTACAGTATTGATGACTAAGCTTCTCATACACAGTATAGGTACAGTATACCTGTATATTAGTGCATTAAGGTATTATGTATGGTAAGTGGTTATTCACGGTTTCGGCAATTCGCGCCATTTCTTGGAACCTATCCCTCACGAATGCCAAGGGTTTACTGTACTGTAAATAAAGATGTTAAACAATATGAAATAATGAAAATAATGTAAAAAAAAAGGGGGATTTTTATTTACAATAGTCACACAAAGATGCAGTAGCAGATGCAATTAATTTCAAACCAGTGATGGAGAATGAAATGCAGCCTGTCAATAGACAGTTAAACAAGGCAGCAGCAGTTCATGTGTTAGAGAACAGGGACGACCTTAAGTCCATTGTGAAGACCGTAATCTTCTGTGCACGCCAGCAAATTCCACTCTGTAGCCACCGTGATGATGCTAATGGCATATTGCCACCATAATTACCAATGGCAGCAATGAATCCCCCACAAAAATTTTCTGGACCCACCCAACATGAGGACATAGTTTTTAAGGGTAGTTAAATTAATTAATTCCTCCCTAAAAAGTCACCAAGTGTAGTCATTATAACTGTCCTGTGAGTGTTAGCTAGTCCATTAAACACTGATGTTTTGTTTCATTTGTAACAGAATATTTACTGGTATTCAAAAAATTCATCTTTTCTTGTTTCATTGATATTTGTTTCTAGTTAAGGAATACAGTATGTGACAAAATAAGGTAGTGCTCAAATTTGTAAGTTCTATTTTGATATTACTGTACTATACAGTATTAATGCATCTTTTCTCACATGGAATCATCTTTCAACCTTCTGAGGACTGCTTATGCAAACTCTACTTAAAGAAGAGAATTAACCAAGTTAAAAACATCGTCTTAGAAACCAACTCTACAAACATTTTGTTCTTGTAAAACATACTAGTATTATAGTGACTACAAAACTTGCCTTCTGGGAAGAAAAAGATCCTGATCGTGATCTGCTGTCCGATTCCTCTTCCAGCTGTGAGCACCCAGATGTTGAAAGTTGTGAACTCTCTGCCGACGATGGACTCAATTCATCCTATAAATAATGAGCACAAGAAAAATTTTAAAAAATTCCAGCAGATTTTCATAAGGTGAATAATCAGTAAATGAACAACAGTTCTTCATTACTGATATGAGCATTTGGTATGTTCACCTAAATGCCAATGTCCATAAGATATGTGTACTGTATTCGTCATCAACACAGGTTTGTGACCTTTCCATGCTTATGATGGTTTGCCAAATTTCAGTCAAAATGCACAAAATCGATAACAAAAAAAAACCTACAAATACACTTCTGCTTTACCTCAGTGTCATCAAAGCATGGAAGTGGGATCCTTGACAATGTGGAGACCGTGCCAGATCGATATCTCTCAAGAAGTCTCTCATAAGGAGAAGTAAAAGGCAACTGTTTTGAAAATGGATATTCTTGACGGACTGGAGTTTCACCTGTAAAAAATAAAATTAGTTATTGTCAATAAAAGAGAACCAAACAGTGATAGGGAAGGGAGTACAAATAGATGAAATTTAGGAATGGGTTCAGAGGGAAAAAATCAAGTTTGAAAAGTGGCAAGAGGGATAGGCTATAAACACTAGTTCTTATATAAACTGCAAGAAATTTTTACATAAAACAAGGTAGAACAGTATTAGCAAAAAATCATTTGCACTACTTAGTACTGACTATACTTTCAGTCCTAAGCTCAGTCCATTTTTGCACCCCTCCTCCCTTTTTGGCAGGGGGGACCTTAAATTAAATTCAAATTTTATGTTAAAAACTATAGATCATGAAAATAATAATACAGTAATAATAATAATAATAATAATAATAATAATAATAATAACAACAACAACACTGGTTAACTGCCACTGTTTCTTTATTCTGGGCCACTCAAAATATTTCCTAAATTCAAAGCCTGGTCAATGTTTTTCAGGAAACTGAGTAAGTGTGAAATTATTTGAGGGTGGATTATAACGGCTGGTAACATGACTAATGGCTGCTCCAGGATATTTGAGCTGCTGCAGAAAAATCAAAACATCAAAACATATCTCACCTTCTCAGGACTGGTTCCAAGTGAATTAAGTACATGCATAGAACAGAAAGAGTTAACGTTAACAAGTATAACAGCATAAGACAAGGGTGTAAAGTCAGGAATGTCTGAAAATGTTAGTGTAAGATGAGGCAGTGCTGACGAGTAATCAAATGTAAAGCTAAGTCAAGTACAGTAATATCTCCATTAGCTGGAATCCCTCTTAACCGGAACTCTCTGATAGCTGGAATTGAAATTTTCTTGAAAAATAGTTCCCAAAGCCAAAATTTCCCAGAAAATTCCAGTTTTGGGAATGATTTTCTGGGAAATTCCGAGAAAAATTTCCCAGTACCCAGAAAATTCCAGGGGGGGGGGGGGTTTTTTCCATGGGATTAAGGGATGAAAATCGGGGGCATTTTCCAGGAAGTTGAGAGAGAGAGAGAGAGAGAGAGAGAGAGAGAGAGAGAGAGAGGCAGGCAGGCAGTTCCTAGAAAATTCAAAGGATGGGGGATTTTTTCCAGCTTTGAGAGACGAAATAGTGCTTAATTCTGGAAAATTTCAATACCTGGAAAAATTCCGGGGATGGGAGATTTCTTTTAGAGATGATGTAATACTTAATTTCTGGAACACCAGAGAAAAATTTCCCCATACCTGGAAAATTACAGGGACAATAGATTTTTTTTCCGAATTTGAGAGTCGTCTCATTACCTGGATATCTCTCATTCCCGGAAGTGCTCAGCACCAATTGTTCCAGCTAACAGATATCACAAATACAATAGAGATCAGAGTAAAAGTGAGATATGAAAGATGGAGTAGTAGAGATTTGAATAACTGCACTGAAAGAGTTGATGTAAAAGATAAGTGGATAACTTTGGGTAAACATATTGAGCCAGGAGGAAATGGATAAAAGATAGATCGATACAGACATTTATGTACAGCACATGAACCTTAAATCACAGGATGACTCACCAACCAGATTATATTGTTTACGAGTAATGAGGTGTCAATTAGTCATATTGTAACCCAGCTGTAGGTCTAGGAAGTGTGATGAATTGAAGGTTAGTCTTGGCTATTAAGGAATAGGTCAAGATACTGTACAATTAAATTTATTAATTACAATAACTGTATTTTCATGCTATGAAATTGATAAATGTAATGTTATCAGTGTAACATAGACAAATTTATTTGGAAAAGGCTGTTGGTAAAATTCTGACGTGCTTCACATGACAATCCCACTCACCAACGCATAATTACAGATGGTATTCTCCAAATATTTCACCCAGGTGAACTTATTTTTTGTTGTTTGTCTGTGAATATGAATGTTTATGTGGTTTGGCCTTAAAAAAAGAAGGGGGTAGGGGGAGGGACAATGACAAAATATGGTGGTCGCAGGATCAAACCAAGAGGAACTGATCAAAAGAATACCCTGTACTATAAGAACAAAAATCTTGGGTACACTGCCTCACCTGTTGGCAAATCTTTAGCCATCTTCTCAGAGAAGAATTCCAGGACTTGTGTCCCTTGAACACTGAGTTCTTCTTCATGTTTATCAGACCACTTCTGCAGATTACTTACTGCCATCTGACAGTCATCATTGAGGCGACAGCTCTCTGCCTCAAGTCTCAAGATCTCAGCTGCTAAAGCTTCATTTTTGTTCTCAACATCCTCGGTAAGATCCTCTAATGCTGTCTAGAGTTAGGGGGAAAAAAAGTTTAATTTATTTATGAAACAAAAAACGTTTTTTATGCAATATTCTGGATAAATGATTTAATTTACATATAGTACAATAATCCCGTGTTTTTTGCTTTTTTTATTGTGGTTTTGACCATTAAAATTTTTTTACTAAAAAATTATATATATATATATATATATATATATATATATATATATATATATATATATATATATATATATATATATATATATATATATATATATATATATATATATATATATATATATATATATATTTGTAATAAATAAAAATATGATATATAAATCATATAAAACACAAAGCGGAGAAACAACGAGTCCTTAGCTTTTTTCGACAAAAGAGGGACAGAGAGAGGCTTAAATATACAGGGTGACCTAAAAACATGAGGTCAGGTCATAATGATGACATCCACTAATCCCCACACCAACACAACCGTAGAGGATTGTGGATTTACATGAAGATATATATATATATATATATATATATATATATATATATATATATATATATATATATATATATATATATATATATATATATATATATATACACACACACACACACACACACACAGTAGGCTCTCGCCAATAACAACTTCCACAATAACGTTTTCAACACTAACGGTAAGTTACAATAGATACCCATTTTCGATAATAACGTCTGGATTCTCTTGAATAACGGAAATTTCGCGGGAAGCGTCCGAGCGCATCAATGATAGCGTTTGTTTGCCGCCATGTTCATGACGTAGTTGTCCGCTCCGCCTCACTCTCACACACGCTCAGTGGAATACAGCGCTGCGCCCACGTGTGAGATTTTCGCCTCAATAACCAGTGGTTGTTAGGGTCGGTGATCAATAATGGCTTCCGCATTTTTGCCTGTGGGGGCTAGGGGAGGTGGTGGAGGGAGTGATTTGCCACCTGAATGACTGGGAACTTTTAAAGTGAGGAAATTGAACTGTCCTGAGTCTAAAGTGCAAAATATTAAGAGGAACGTTGAGGAGACCAAGACGAGTATTGCGCTGGCTAAAAATATTTCGGTAGTGATGGAAATGCGAGGCAAGCTATGAATGATAAAGGCGATAGAAACAGGTTGTTAGTGATAACAGAGCATTTTCTTGTGAAATGGATAGCTTGTAGAATGAAAGACAGTGCAAGTGTTAGCGGCCCGCAGATAAGGAACAATCATCACGCCAAGCACCTCAAAAACTCCCCCAAGCTAAGTGTTATATTACTCAAACTCTTTATTTTGATGATTGAATAGTAATTCTTTTTATTTCAGCTAACAAAAAGTGTTAGGAGGGTTTCAAGGGGAAAAAATGGGTGAAATTCTTGAGGCGGCGGCACCAATAAACCCCTTTTACCTGTATTTCAATGTCACACAAATAACGTTTTCGCTAATAACAGTGTTTTTCAGGCACCTATTAAACGTTATTGGTGAGAGCCTGCTGTATATATATATATCCTTTAAAAACAAAAATTTAAATTTCGAGCCATTTTCGATATTCCCGTGCGGTGCGGCAAACAGACGCCACCCTTTCCCGCCTCAGACACCCGCTGCTCCGAGAAGCCTCAGTCCACACGTGCCTACCATACTGTGACTGCCACTGTGATTGCCTCTTCTGTTTGTCCTCCAACGTGCATTCCACATGGCTCCAGGACGTAAGCCAGCCTCATCAAAGGCAAATATTACTAGCAAGAATAGTGATGACCTTAACGGAAAAAACAGTTTTATTGGACAAGCTCAGAGGTGGTATGAGCTATGGGTCGAGATGTGGTGAAGACTGACAATTCATTCGTGTCTTTTGTCAGAATACAAGTCTTCAAGTGGAGGAATGTGGATGGAAGAGGACTGGCTGGCTGGCGTGACTGCGTAAGGGTGGGCAGACGCCGGGACAGCAGGGAGAAGCTGGCAATGCGGGTGTTGCCGACCTCAGCGAAATATAACATTTTTTAATTACTTGTAAATAATTTTTTTTGGTATATAACTGTGTTTACGTTTTTCCATTATTATGCTACAATATGATTAGTTTCAAATAATAATGTTAGTACATGCTGGTACAGTGCATCAGTGATCAGTGTGACCACTGGGCCGTGAGTGGAAAGCATGGCGTGATTAAGTGCATGACCTACCTGAGCTGTTTGGTGGCCACAGGTACAGTGATTCCAAAAAGAGCATTCGCGGTTTTGGCTTTTCGCGGGGATTTCAGGAACGTAATTCCCGCGAAAAACACGGGATTACTGTAATACCTGCCTATGAGAGTCTTCCAAATTTCAGGGTTGGTTGAAATATGCCCTCCAGGGTTGTCTCTTTCACACTTAATGGTTCACTTTGACTCTCATGATACTATGATTTCTTACAAACATATAATTATTACTGCACTACATCCATTTCACTTCTTATGTTTACTATTGTCAACAAAATCATGTTTTATAAAATTTTAAGACTTTTTTCTTTCTTCCCCCTTTCTGTATGAATGTATCTTAACCTTTATAATAGGAGTCTACAGGAAAATGGGATCCATTTATGAAAGGTTGTCCATAAATCAGGGACTGCCTGCTCTTCCTAATATTAATCCCTTGCCTTTATCACCTGCCTTGTACTTCTTTAATTTCAGTGTGATCATTAGCAAGTGCATATTCCCACATCAACCTAATTTTCCCATAACCCGCCTTCAAGCTCATCCACAATATCCCTGAATTCACCTGCCTTTTATATACACCATCATTCTCTTTTGCTCAGCCTCCTCTCTCCTGTCATTTGTTACAAACCATACCATCAAGTCACGTCTTTCTTTCCTAAACCTATCTTACCCAAACACACACATTAAACTTTTTAAACATATGTCTCTCCCTCTCCACACCATGCTGCTTACTAGCTCTAATTCTGTACAGTATTTTTCTAATTACACTAAGGCAATAATGGCTCTTTTCATCTGATACTTATGTCACTTGCTCAGGAATATAAATTTTCTTTGCTGAATCAGAATGATCGCATTTCATATCAATAATGACAAAATAAATACCTGTACTCACACTTCTATAGTGATCTAGTTTACCTACTGCTCAAGCTTTATCAAAAAATTTTGTTACCATAAAGGTAAACAGACAAAACACAGATTTCCAACTGGATACACTGTATCTGTATACCAGTACTCAATGAAAATTATTATTTTCATACCATGCCATTAGTTTCAAGAAATATTGCTTCCATTACAGTATTTATAAAATGACCTACTATATTATTCATAACTTGTTTTAACTTACCTCCATTTTCACTGTAGCATTTTTCACATCATCTGCCATCTTGATTTCCATTTCTTTAATGTGGCTCTGTACTACTGTACGTGTATTGGCTATGGTCTGGTAAGTCCTGCTAGTATAATGGTCCACGGTGGATTCCAAACTACAGCGTTCTTCTCCCATATGTTGAACATTACTCTCAAGCTGTGTAGATAATAAAGTACAATACTCCCCTTGTGGGCAATTCAGCAGAAAAGTTGCCGATGATAGTGAATGAGTTTGGAAGTGTGTACTGTACTAGAAGAGTTACTTAGTGAAGTAATAAAAATAAGTAGAGAAGAGAGATATAAAATGTCTGCTTGAACATACAGAAAGGAGGCAATGAGGCACCTCAGATATATGGGAGTGGAACAGGTGATGATCATACAAGTAGCAGAGGAAAATAAAATATTACTTGCATTAAGAAATGTATGGAGAGAAATGGTGGTTAAAAGAAGCAAAGTTGTGTATGTGTAGAGGAATTGTTGAGCCTTAATCACTAGGTGGAAATGAAGCATGTATTCAGATGCAAGAGGAAGAAGCAAATTAGATATAAAAGCAATAACATCCTTGAGAGAAATGTGTGGAGTAAATAGGGAGCATATTTAGAGAATGAAAACTGAAAGATTGGTAAAAGGGATAGGGTGAAGGAAGAACTAGAAGTGAATGGATATCTAATCCATATGGTCAAATTTCCTTTGTATCAACATTGAAGATAGCCATTACTTCATTAAATTATAAGAAATTCCAGTTTATCAGCTAGTCAGCTCTTGTCAAAGATATAAAAGTAATGAATACTGAGAAAGTAACAAATACTATTTATTAGACTGGGAACTCAATAGATTTCTTTTTGTGACCAACTCATTAATATCTCAAGGTATTCAAAATATTCTATCTTAGCTAGCACATTACATGATAGTAATCTGCAGTTTCTCAATAATAGTTTGCGGTCTGGAAGTAACCCTTTTTTGTTGCATTAAAACATTACAATCTTTTAATGTTTCTTTTACCAAGGTATCATGTCAACCAGTACGAGTGACAAGTTTAGAATGATGAGACTACAAGGATCTAGTCAATTTTGAAAGCCCTGATATTTGATTTTATGTTTCCTACTTCCTGTTTATATAAATACAGTACAGTAATATCTCCGTTAGCCGGAATCCCTCAAACCAGGAACTCTCCGATAGCCAGAGTTGCTACTTTCTCAAAGCCAGAATTATCCATAAAATTCAGAAAAAATTTCCTGGTACCGGAAAATTCCGGGGATGGGGATTTTTTTTCTGGGTTTGAGAGATGAAAATCAGGCACATTTTCTGGAAATTCCGAGAAAATTTTTCCGTAACCCAGAAAATTCCGGGAATGACGGATATTTTTCCAGGTTCGAGAGATAATGTAATAGGCAATTTCTGGAACTTCCAAGAAAATTTTTCCGTAACCCAGAAAATTCCGGAGTTGAGGGATTTTTTTCCAGCTTTGAGAGAGTCGTCTCGTTTTCCAGAAATCTCTCATTCCTGGAAGTGCTCTGCACCAATTGTTCCGGCTAATGAGATATCACTGTATTTACATATTCCAGTTAAGACACATTCACATTTATTATAACTTACCTGATTAAGTAATTCTTCCATCGTGCTTTGTGCTTCCTTCCTTAGATTGTGTGTGGTTGACACATGATTGACACTTTCATCACCAATGCTTTTCACCAGTAACTTCATGCTGCTGTTTGCTGTCTTTGTGTTTCCTTGAGCCATGTTGATATTTGAACGTATGCCAATCAAGCCCTCAGTACTAGAAACGGCAAATGATTTAATCCCAGTCTGTACTTCTGATAGGTTGGCTACTACAGTGTTGATGGTGGATGACAGGTGCTGGAAAAAAGAAAAAGAAATAAATAAATAAAAAAAAGTACATAAAAAATTATATATATATATATATATATATATATATATATATATATATATATATATATATATATATATATATATATATATATATATATATATATATATATATATATATATATATATGTGTGTGTGTGTGTATATGTATGGGCAGGGCTGTGGAGTCGAAGACAAAACCTCCGACTCCTCAAATTTTTATGCTTCCGACTCCTTGGCCTATTTGTAACAACTATTTCTACCATCCTAATTGTAATTTGTATGTTGTAACCTGCGTAGGTAAAAAGTAAAACACCGTGGCTATACTGCTACAGCTTTATTAATGATCTGGACGATATTTAAGAACTACAAAAAGATGATAGGCTTGACTTTCAAAGTTTCAATCAAAAGAAAAATAAATTTATTAAAAATTCAAGATATTAACTAGAAAACACCATTTACATGTATATCTAAAAGTTCGATCTCGGCATATGAATTTTGTTTAAGCTCATAATCTGATGTGGATCTAAATGATGATCCTACAATTCCTTTTAAAGTAAAGTTATATATTTATGTACATTAAAGAAATGAATACCTTATTAAGGAAAATGGATAAACCTTACATGATTAAGTTATTAAATTAAATTTGCCTTAATCTCACCAAAAACAGGTTGTAGCTAATTGTTTTGTAGCTGAGAGCCTCTGTGCAGTTTTCAACGAAACAAAATTTGATATAATTCAAAATTTCAAATGGTAAAGAAGAGACTATCGTCCAAAATTATAGTGCTATACTGTGCCTGCTACAATAAATTCATAATAATGCTTATAAAATGGAAATAAATTCTTTTAATAATTTAAGAAAATTAGTGGGATCAGTGGAATCACTGCAATGAATATGCCTGAGTTCATATATTTGTTCTTAGGAACAGAATAGCTTCAGTCAGATCTTCCTTCATGGAAGCCCTTAAATCTGATCTGATTATTTTCAGTGCAGAAAACAGTCTTTCTACACTGACCTGAGTGGGTGGCATTGCTGTCACAGCTCTAGCTACATCTTTTACAATCTCTGGGTAAGCAGGTATGGCTTCTTCCACTGTCACTTTGAAGACCGGGTCATTTCTCCACTTCTTCCATCAGTGCACCAAAAAATCTTGCTGATCTCTATTTTTTTAATGTACCGCTGCTGCGGTCGGAGTCGGAGTCTGGACAATTTTACCGACTCCGACTCCACAAGCCGAAATTTCCTCCGACTTCCCTCCACAGTTCCATATATATATATATATATATATATATATATATATATGTGCTGAGGCTTAGTGGGGAATTGGTTTAGGGGAAAGGTGTTCAGAAATGTGACTGATGGAAACAAGCAAGATTAGGATTGGAATGCCTAACTGAAAAAAGTACTAGTGTAGGGGAATCCTGCTTTACCCAGATCTTGAATAAAATCATTCAATTTGGTGCATTCTGGTGCATGTCAGACTTCCAAGCACCCTCTTGGCTGGCAAGGCAGTGTCTCAACTCCTTGAGACAATCAAAGATCACCCATCTACTTATGACAGTTACATAACTTGCAGTGAATAAGAATTAAATGTATGTGGATAAATTCCACCCAATTTCTTGTTAGATGCCTTAACCATTCAGCTGAAATGATGTATGTAGGAAGCACAGAAACAATTAGCTTTTTAGATAAGCAATAGGTGTGGGTAAGCTATAATTCAGTGTAAAAAAAAAGAAAAAAGATGGGGGTTAGAAGAGGCAGGACTCGTGTATTTGTTTTTCTATGATACTAACAGTAACCAATATGTTTAACTTTAACCAGCCTCCTTGAACAATCAACTCTGAATGTGGATTGAAACTTGTAGGAGTAATACTAATTAAAATCTTCATGTACTAACTTCATTTTCTCTTACCTGCAAACAAGCTTCTGTGGAGGTACTCAAATTATTCACAATGTCAAGGCAAGAAGTACTGCAACCATTTTGGGTCTCCAAGTGAGTATTCATCTCTTGTTCCAACTGGGCAATTAGTTTGGACTGATGTTGGTGAAAAGTTTCACAGCATTCATCCATGGAAGTTAGCTGTAAATTTGGAACAATATTAAGAAAAACAATAGCATTTATTTATGCTCACTGAAATTACATTCATATTTCCAGTTGGACTCGTAAATTTGAAAACTACCAAATAAGCCTGAACAACTTTCACGAAAAAAAAATATTAATTAGTGACTAAGTTTTTCACCTATAAAATGTCACTAAACTAACATGTTCTATTAATTTTATTACAAAGGGCTAAAATTGTTATCTCTTGTGCAAAATATATGACGTTTATATTCAAATTATTCGCTGTCTTGCAAGGATTCTTGCAATGCATATTATATAATATAAAAACTTAAAAGCCTAAAACCATCAAACCCTGGATGGGAAGATGGGGCAAAAGGGAGGGAGGGAGGAAGGGGAGGTGACATGTTCGACAGTTGCGTCAAAAGTCTAGTGAAGTACAGTCTCTCCTCGACTTATGACGGGGTTAGGGACCCAAATCCAGGTCGTAAGTCGAGGAATGGCTGCATTTATTTATGTCCTTTAGATTGAGTTTTTGTTTTTTGTTTATAAAATGTCACAGAAGTGACCTGGCAGAATATAATTTATGTTGCTGGAATTCTTATAAGATAGTGATTAATTTGAATATAATCATGCTATAGTCTGCACTTGACAAAAATTTTAGTAACCATTTAGTACATTATTTTGAGTACATGTACAGTACAGCTTTGCCCTTAGGACAGTGTAGCGTGCCCAGAGGATCATTATGCGCGAGTTTTAAAATATTATGCGCCAGATTGACTCGAGCAAAATAAGAAAGATTCGCTTTAAATTAAAACATTGTCCTTAATTGTGGGTCGCTTTAAATCAATAATCTTAAATTGAATCGCTTTAAATCGATGTTTTACTGTAATCTTTTAATAACTTTGTTATACACTTAAAAACCTTAATTGCTTTAGTGCAGTAATAACATAATATCAATCGATTTTCTTTAAACAGTTCAGATAAGCAGCCCCCCCCCGTATATTCGGACTTTCGCATTTTTCAGAATAGGGTCTGTCGCAATTAGTCCGATTTATCGAGGTTCTACTATACAGTATACATATACATACAGTATACCCAAGTGGGTGGTCACTTTGGATTAGCATTTGACTATTTAAGATCTATTTCTAACTTTTAAAAGTTCTTAATGGCTTAAGTTCATCAAATTAAGAAACTACCTTCTGTAGGTATTTATTATTATAATTTATGACACCGAATTTTTTATTTTACAACTTGAATACAGTACAGTACAGTATTGTCTTTGTATAGTAACTTATCAAACCATGTCAAGTTCACAGGCTTGATCAGAATACTCAAACTACTGCAACAAGTACTTGACTCTAATGTTTTTCTCTGGTATAAAGGTAATATTAATATATTCCCAGATATATAGGAGAATTTTAAAAGATAAGTTTACTGTATACTGATTTTTTAATTTAATCTTGATCATAAAGCTAATTTTAAATATTAATGGAAATTACATTTTAAGTACAAGAGAGAGAAAATGTGTATTTACTTGTTACTTTTTGTTCTAAATTGTTTATGGTTAAGCCAAAGCTATTAAGAATGAATGGTTGACAGTAAATTAATGTAGAACCTGTATTTCCTCTGGGTTTTAGCCACTCTGCAGCTTACCAAGAAACGGTTTAGAATAATATCTAGGAAAAAAAAAATCAATCAATCTTAAAAAATAAGGTAGAAAAACAAATTCAAATTGAGCTTACTTTGCTATTTAAGACAGAGTAAAGATTGGTGATAGTGGTGGCATTGGAAGATATGAGTGATGCAATGTTATCTAAGATGGGTAAAGCTTCAGTCTTCTGGAAGCTGTGAAGCGATGTCTCCTGCTGATCACAGTCTTGACACACACAGTCAGTCATTGCTTTTGTGGATGATACTTGAACTTCAACCTGAAATTTAGATTAATAAACATTTAATCCTGTTGAATATTCGCAGCTTTACATGTCAATAACCCTTAAATGATAGGAGATCCCTAAGCTGTCCCCCACATATGCAAAACCAGAACATGAAATATCCATTGATGTAGGCCATCGTCTCTTCAGGTAACATCAATTGATGTTGGATACTGTTTAAGAGCTTAAAAATGCTACTTTGACTCACTGATGATGATATTTTTAAGTGACCTCTCTCCAACTGAGCTCTAACTACAGTATTGAATAAGAAATAATACAAAAATGGCATATATTACAAATTAGCCAACTTTTTTTATAGCTGCTACCTAACAGTAGGGGTACAAATTAAGATTAAAATATTATATTTTTTGTCTGGTGTACAGTATATGATTGTTACCTTGTGAAATATACACCCAAAACATCTGTAGTGAAGTAAAACTTCTCCCATCTACATTAAGCTATACACACATCAAGGACTCCAAACTGTTTCAGTATACAAGGGATACCAAAATTTGACAATTAAGACCCTAGAATTTTGCATTTAAGTCACCTTTAGAGCACTGCAGAAATCTATGAATTCATGGTTAGCCAAATCCAGCTAACAAGGCATGAGACTGAAATAATACACTTGAATGCTGCTTTATATCTTCTAGAGGTTAAGCTTCACATGGTTTCATATCAGTGTACGGTAGTTTGTATTGTAATTAGCAAAAATTTTCATGTGGGCAAAAGATGGCTACCCAGTATCCAAACACTGCAAGTTTCTGATTCTTTTATTACTTATATATAAATATATATATATATACGTGTATATATATACTTTTTTTAAAATGAAGTGTCATTCATTTTCATAATTATTGTAGATCATTATCCAACATATTATTTTAAGTGTTACCATGTTTATAATGCTGCCCAATTATTGGCTATATTAAAATGTGTGATCCTAGTTTGCACGTAAAGTGAAGCAAGGATGATATGTATCTAATTAACCTCTTTAATGAAAAAATATACTGTACACGTGTCTAAAGGGATATACTGTACAGTACTGTATGTGGGATCAAATAAGTTACAACGATGAAGTTAAAGAGTACAAACAAAGCAGAATAATAAATGAGGGCGTGGCAACATCATGGACCAAAATAACCAGAAAAAATTAATCCTGATTTCATAAACTAAACATACAACTCTCACCTTATTTTTGTAGAGAGCCAGAAAATTTTGAATAAGGTTTGCTTGACACTGTCCAAAAGCTGTCAACTGGCTACTTATTTCTGACACCTGCTGCTTGCACTGCTTAACACAGTCACCTAGTGTATGTAAAATCCTTATAGTAATAACTTGCTTAGTATATGTAAAACTTTTATATCAAACTCATTCATGTATCCTGGTTCCTGACATATAAAGCTTGGATTCAAATTTAGAAATAAAAAATTTCTCATGAATGAAATACCACATGTATTCACACCAAACCATGTAAAAATTACTGTTTGGAAGGAGAATTAAAACAAGTGAGAGAATTATGAATAGGAGTAGGATAAGGATGAGGAGTGACTGTGGCAAGCATAGTGATTATGAGAACTAACAGGTCTCTTATGAAATACAGTACAGTAGATGCATTGGACCTTCAAACCACGAACTTAAAATATCAGTTATGTTCAACACTAACATAATAGGGTCAGAAACCCATAAACACAAAATATATGAACAAGGTAACTGACAAGGATCCAAATTCCCATAACAGACCTATAAAAATTTAAATACAATATTATCTGTAGTTATCATCCAAAGAGCTGAACCTTATCAGAGTAAAGATGTGGATGTCCAGAATATACTTAATTAATGTAATTGGTATATGAATAAAAATACCTATATGGGGTACATTTTGGTAATATATTAGTCATGAAAATTTTATACAATCAGTAATATCTCCATTTGCCGGAATCCCTCTTAACTGGAACTCTCCGATAGCTAGAATTGAAATTTTATCGAAAATTTTTCCCCAAAGCTGGAATTTTCCAGAAAATTTCGGCTTTGAAAATGATTTTCCAAGGGGCACATTTTCTGGAAAATTCCGGGGATGGGGGAAGTTTTTTCCGGGTTTGAGATGAAAATCGGGGGTTAATTATTATGACCCGTTGTAAACTCTACTCTGTAATCCTCTTACGCTACCGCTCACATGATGAGTGTGGGGGTGCACAATAAAGTAGCCGCTGTAAACGACAAAAAAAATAAATAAATAAATAAAAAATAAATAAATAAATAATAAAAAAAATAATGCATCATGCTATGCCATATACAGTACAGTACTTATTTTCTCTTGTGTACCTAGCAAAACAACACAGTATAACGTCGATATAACACGGCGAGAAATGTTCCAAGAGAGGTCGCTTTAGACCGAATTCGCACTAAATCGAAGTGTTGTTTAAATGGAATAATTTAGTGTGGTACTTGAGAGAAACACAAAATACTAAAAAAGACTGACAGTCTGCCCAGATGCACCTCAGCCCATCTCCTAGAATAAACAAAACATTGTTTTTTGTAGTATTATGCTAAAACAAACACTCATAAATCAACACAGTTAAAATTAAGGGATGCGAAATGGTCTGTTTACTGGCTAGGAAGGGGGAGGGGGGGAGGAGAGGTGAGGTGAGGTGATATGTTTGACAGTTGATGCCAAGGTCTATTGCTTATTTATTTATCTGTCCGTAAGAGTGACTAAGTTTTTCTCTTATAAAATGTCACTGAACTGACCTGGGAAAATATAATTTACATCACTGGAATTCTTATAAGATAGTGATTGGTTTGAATATATACATGCTATAGTTCACATTAGACGTACAAATTTTAGTTCTAATTACAAATGGCTAAAATTTCTATCTTTTGTGCAAAATATATGACGCTTATATTCAAATCATTAGCTGTCTTCTAAGGATTCTAGCAATGGAAATTATATTCTCCTAACTTTAGTCCGTGATATTATATAAGATAAAACCTTAAAGCCTACTGTATAACCACCAAACCCTGGCTAGGAGGGAGGAAGGGGAGGTGACAGTGACATGTTTGACAGTTGGCGTTGAAGGTCTAGTGAAGTATTTATTTGTTTATTTATGTCCTTTAGATTGAGTTTTTGTTTTTTGTTTATAAAATGTCACAGAAGTGACTAATGAGAATATAATTTACATTGCTGGCATTCTTATAAGATAGTGATTAATTTGAATATAATCATGCTATAGTCTGCACTAGACAAAAATTTTAGTAATCATTTAGTACATTATTTTGAGTACATGTACAGTACAGCTTTGCCCTTAGGACAGTGTAGCGTGCCAAGAGAAATATTAGGCGTGAATTTTAAAATATCATGCGCCAGATTGACTCTCGCAAAACAGGAAAGATTCGCTTTAAATTAAAACATTGTCCTTAATTGTGGGTGTCGCTTTAAATCAATAATCTAAAAATGAATCACTTTAAATCAACGTTCTACTGTATAGGCTATCTTCTGAGTGGTATCGAAAAAAGTTCTGAGAAAGAAGGCATGAAAAGAGATACTGTGCAATGAATAATTATCAATTACTTACCAAACTGGGAAGAAATTGTATTAATAGCAGCTTTCTGTTGGGTTACATTTGAGGTCAGGCCTCTTTGCACTGCTTCCACATTCTTCAAGTACAAGTGTTGGAACTCCTCACTGACAGCAGCGTTTTTGCTTTCAACTTCCCTATATTAAGAGACATCAATACCATAAAAAATTGAACAAAAAAAATCAAAGCTTAAGATAATTTTTTCTCTTAATGCAAGGTGGTTAGATACAAGAAATACACACTTTACTTATTCTCAATGATGTAAAAGATTTGTTCTGTTATGCCATTTCTGCTCATTCACACACACTGCTTCTCCCTGGGTGTTTAGTCCTCTTTACTTAATAGTGCATCCTTCCATCTCCCGATTTTCCCTGTATACCTCAAGAGCCTATACATATACATTTAACCGTAGTGTTGCTAAATTCCATTTTCAACATCTTATGACTTGCCAATATAGAGGACAAAACACTGAACAGACTACAGTATTCTCCAAATAGACCATGGTTTTTACAGTTCTCAAATTATATAACTATTCCACAAAATGCTCTCCATCTATCCTCTAATTTTATCTTTAATCATCCCTTTAACCTTCTTGAAATACTTTGCTGAAATATTTTGAAATGCTCAGGTGCCCAAAACCACCAGAAAATTTACCTATACTGTATATTCACCATGACATTGGTCAAGCTGTTATGTTTTTTAGGGTCTAGAGTTCATGTCAGTCATACCTACGAAAAATGTGCCACCCTGTGTAAACTGCAAATTTAATCAAAATTACATAAGGAAATGTGCTTACTTTTTCCGATCCAATTTGTTGTGCAACTTGACAAGATCATTGGTGGTGGTATCAGCCACATTGACCAGTGCTTTGCCTTGTGCCTTCAACTTTTCCTCTGTTTTTCTATGAGCAGAGACAATATACCTGAAAGAGAAGATCTCAAATAAAAGAAGGGAGGACATGAGGGTCACCTGTTTAGGGCTTAATGTAACCAGGATGTAAAATTTTTGTTTTTGCTAAACTGAAAACTCAAGTTTCCCTCATAAAAACAATGAAACTCACTTCTAGCCTCAGCTTACTGCCAAAATACTAAATACCTGCACTGGTCCTATAAATCATTAAGATTGCCTCATGTAAATAGTTTTTTCTGCTAATCTTGTTGAACATCATGTCAATCACTTTGTGTGGCCAACATTATGCAACTAAATTCCCAACAAGTGGTATACAGTAATTGTTGGTCCACCCCATACAATAAAATGAGAATGAAGTAATCAGTTGTAAATAAAATTTTAAACAGTAAATTTTAATTGGAATACAGTACTGTACTTAATCTTCATGTACCAATTATAATGTACTTTGCAAAATACCAGTAAAATTTTGAAAAATAAATTTATATTCCCACTGAACACTCCTTTCATGCAAAAACAATAACTAAAGATCAATTAGAACTTAAATTCAGATGAAACCATCTAGTAGGTCTTCATTTCTCTCTTGTCAGATGGGTTCATTTCAACAATCAAATTACCAAAATGTCAAAACTTTCACTGTAGAATGAGCATGACTAGTAAAGGCTCTTGGCCAGTTAACCTTGAATTAGTTACAGAGTACAAATTAATGTAAACCCCAAAGCTCGTCTCACAAAATGTACCCGGCCAGAAGAAGCCATACTTTTGTTCGTCACGTTCCAGAGCTGTGTTGTGCAAGAGTTTCTGTGTGCAGACGAGGGTGTTTTTAGTTGTCACCAGTTTTTCCGTTGTGTCTTTGAGTTTTTCAGTTGTGTTATCCAGTTGATGACACACATCCGTAAACATTTCCTGCCAAGTACAATACATGTCAGCTAATACTCAAAAAGTAAAGAATACAAATGAAAGATAAGCCTTGTATAAGAATGAGAAACATACAGTATATCAAAACAATAATTGAAGTAACAGTAAAAACTCCTAATAACCAATTCCCTTACCATCTTCTTTTCGACATCCTCTTCAAGTGCCCGAATGTGACTGATTTTCTCTGTTATTTCCTGAGCTTGTTGCTCCATCGTCACCATCATTTCCTGATAGTTTTCATGGGCCAGGTAAACTCCATTTTTTTCTCGCATAGCCATCAAGTCACGACGCAAGCGTTCAATTTCCTCGGAATATTCCTGGAAAATAATAAATACTGTACTTACTAAACCACTCAAGTTATTCAAATTTCTTTGTCCAAGAATTTGACAGACAATATACATTCAGGTCATACAAATCGAACTTCTCATACTAGATAGATGTCTAGTTACTCATTCATCTACCGACACTGACAAATCAGTGTCAGCAAACAACCTCACAACTATTCTTGCAATATACCAAAATATATCTAACCCAAGCAGCTAGGTTGGTCAGCTTCATCAAGTCTTTACCCTGTAGAGCAACAGCAGCACACTTAGGTACATATATACAGTATTTCATTCAGGCTAACACCAGATGATTTTATTTTGCTGATAGAAATCCCTTCCCTCTAAAGGGTTAAGTATACCTTGATTGAAATTGGCACCTCTAATCAGCTACCATGAATTCTTCATTCTAAACAAAATTCAGCTATATTTTATATCGTGCATACAGAGTTGCTGTGCATATTAATAAATATAATGTGTCGTAGTTAAATATCAAACCCTACACAGGTATTTGAATGCCCCAGACCCCACACTTCCCCTTGCCTGGGGTTACCAAAGGCCTCTGTGTACTGTAGGTAAGGGTGATGCCTGATTATGGAAGAATTCCGTCAATAACTTCAAACATACAGGAAGCAGTTGACCCTTTCTTTTGGACAAAGGTCCTGTGCTATTTGAGACAAGTAAAGGTGGTCCTGCTCTATACAACTTCACTGTATGGGAAGACCCTATTTTTAGGACCCCCTCACTTATCACAAGAAAAATTCACAATTATGAGACTGGCCAGGTTGGAGGTGCAATAATCATGTGACTAGTGTATGAACTCTTAGGACTCCACTACGCAGTTGGAGTACATAAGACAGTGTGAGAGCAGAAAGTGTAAGCGAATAACTACACGAGGCAGCTTGTGCGCTCCCTCACTCAGTGTTGCATTGTCCAATGTTGTGTGACCTATGATACTCTCATCTCGTCTTGTGGTGCATGGAATTGCCATTACTGTAGACTCGTATAGTACCATCCATGTGACCTTCTAGACTAGTGCATATCCTAACCTTTATTTATTGAAGAATTTCACAAGAGGAAAATTAAGAGAAATAATGGACTCAAGCACTGAAGCACACTGAAAATGGCATTATACTTCTCCCAGTGGTTAACATTACAAGGTTAATTATAAAATGCTATACAGTTGGATAATATTGTGACAGAATGGGATTGGCCTACTTAACTTTGTGGAATGAAGGTAAGAAAGGTGATGTTGTTTCATAGTGAAAAAAATTACAGTGCATCATAAGTTGAATTTATAATAATGGTACTGTACTTGAATAAAACTACTGGTGGGATAAAGGTGCATAAGCCACCAAGAAAAGTGAATAAAGACAATTATTCAAAAAATTTAGGCTTCCTTACCCCAATGAGTTCCTTCTTGTTCAGTTTTTGGTTGACTTCTGGCTTGTTCTGGATATTCTTGGCCCTGTGAGCATAATCCAGTGTGGAGAGAGTTTCTTCCAAGTTGATGGAGGCTGGTGAGACTGTGGCAATAACAGAAGTCTTTGTGCGCCCACCAAGGGCATCTTGCAGAAGGCGAGTCAGTTTTGATTCTCTGCAATTGGCAACAAACATTTAATGTAAAAAAATTTACAGCCATTTTCCACACTTGCGTGGGTTAGCTACAATTATCTGATGGCAAACGTGGGATAAAACCAGAACAATATGTTCCTTCCCTCTGCACAACAGGGTTCCAGCCCAGAAAATGCAAAAGATACCAGGGATGGGCACAGCTCTTGTGACCTAGTTGCCATGAGACATATTGAAGCAAAGTTTTACAACTAGATGCCCTTTCCAATGCCAACCCAAGGATAGGAACAGCTGGCAAGGAAGTATTAAGGAATGATTTGTATAATACTAGAGGCACATGAAGATTTATGAAGGTTTAACATGTTTGTAAAGTTGGGATATCCCAAAAGCATGAAATTTTGACTCATGTGATTGATTTATGGAGTATAAGTATTATACAATGAACATAATAGGTATTTACTCTAGGCTCATGTTCCTGAGCTTACTGAAGCCTCCACCAGCTGGTTAAGAGATCAGTTACACTCTTGCCACCAATATGTCCCCATCTCCTGCATTACCACATCACTACTCAGCACACAGAGTGGTCAGTTCAATCCTTATTGATTTATTTATCATAAATACTGTACAGTAAACCGTTCCAACAATGAACTTCTCAATACTGGATACAGTATTCTCAATAACTAATGTCTTTTTGTCCAGTGTACTGTAATTAGTGAACTCAACCAGTAAGTCCAGGATTGAGGACATTGTCAACTATTGACCACATGGTCAGCTGGTACGTTAGAACTTGTTAGACAGACTCAGCATGGTTGACAATGTTTATAGATTGAAGCCAGACATCAAACTGTTAAATACACTTAACATTTTACACATAACATTTCACACTAGTATTAAAAAACATTAACGTGGGTAACCCCAGATTAAGGCCCCATTGAAAATGGTATGGGTGGTGTACTAGAACCGTAACTAACTATTGTACAGTTTAGTGTTTTAAGTGAAAAGGATTTGCCATCTGTTGCTCATTTTGTAACACCTAAGAATCACTGACCTGTAGGGAACATGAGGAGCCTTTTCAACAAGTGAAGTGATGACTCGGCCAAGGGTCAGAAGAGACATGTTTATGTTGCCCGCTTCTCGAGCTCTCTTGTCCACTGCACCTGAACGGCCAATATTCTCTGATCCAGCCAAGTCCACTAAGTGTAGCTTACCAGTCTGTTGGAAAGAGGAAAAATCAAGATTGAAGGCCAAGTTAATAATCCAGAACTCTGTCTATTACACCTATAATCCTGTATCTAGCAGTCTCCTTAAAACATCTTCATTCATGCATAAACAAATTTTCCATTCTAACTGCAATACAATAGTTCTAACTTCCTCCTACAACTCTCTCATTCCCACACTCATGATCTCCTTCATTCTCACTCTACTTTTCTCCTTTAACTCATGCATACTTTCATGTTATTCTGGGGTAGTTACAGTGATGAAAATAAGTGATAGAGAAGGGAGCAGGTCTGACTGACATGTACCGGAGAGATAAATATATGCCGCTGACCCACTATTTGTAACACATTTTCAAAATATGCTTTTCTTTTAAAATCTGTAAATATTGCATGTTACTGTAGCCGAAAGCACTGTTACAAGATACAATATTTCCCTGATAGCACAATTGGATATAAACCTACTTGGTTTATTCTAATAATTTAATAATACTGTATAACAACTAAGACACAGGGCCATTCTAAAAGGTCTTTTGAACTTTGAACAAGCAAATGAAAAATACTGGCATGAATGACCCCTGCTAAACATTCCATACACCTCCAGCACTTTATTTCTCTATTCTTTGTTGACAACCCATCATTGGTTTCTTTCTAATACTGTACTTGAAATCATAATCTGGTGGGAAAGCAAAGGAAAATGTAGGCAAAAACTATTTATGAAATAAAACACAGAAGCCAAAAAACCTACCCTTGGATTGGTAGATTAAAGAATAAATTAAGTTTGGCAAGTTCAGGTGTCCTGCTTCTTAATGTAAATAAATTTTAAGTTTTCTCCTGGCCTGCTCTTCCCTCCCTGTATTTGCATTCCATAATTAAACCTTACATAACAAAATAGATCCCCTCATGATACAAAGTAGTGGGAGCTACCTGGTATATCACACATTCACCTAAACTATCTTAAATGTTTATACTTTACCTTAAGAAGTTCATCACCATCCACGGTGTTTTCTTTAATGTGTATGGTAACTGTAAACACTGTATGGGAACGGCTGGAATGTGCATTCATAAGAGTGGCTGCAGTCTGACGTTTAGTTGAACCCTTCTCTAACACACTGTACACATCTGACTTAGAGCGCACCAGTACCTCCTCAAGTCCTTGAATAATGCAAGAACCTTTTCGGGAAGAATCTTCATACAGTCTGGAAATTTTCAATAAAAATAAAATTATAATGCACAACGTACATCAAGGGGCATCATGAAATAGAGGTATACCGTACTGTAATACTCTTCATTCACAATGAAGTTTACATGAGTTTAATGCTATGACAATGCATAGTTGACAGAATACTGATTATTATTGAACAGTATCCACCAAGTCAATTACAATTATGATTTCAAAGGTACCTGTACCCATACAGTATAAGGACAAATTGATATTATGTTTCTGTATTTCAAAACACACACACCATCTAATAAAGACAGATACCTGTACAGTGCCATGCAAAATAAATATGTTACAAAAAGTTGGATTTTCATCACTCTGGCTCCTTATTTATATGAATAGATGATCTAAGCCTCTACGGTAATATGTGCTCCCTTTTTTTTTCCCAAGTAACCTTTCTACAGTTAGCAGTTCAGATTCTTTGGTTATAATAGGGCACAATCGTACTTAGTTCCTGGTATATATCCACTGTATGATCCTTCTTTATTCATAGTACTGTACAGCAATAACACACATCCAAAATATCATCAAACTCAGCAAATTTTGTAACTTTTGCTTCTGATACTGATCCCAGAAGCATAGTCAGGGGGGGTAGGGGTTTGCCTACCAGGGGAGCCCGAACTAGGCCCTTTTATATATTACGAATTAGGAAAAAACCTGTAATGCAGTATCTGTAAAATTCTGTAAACCTAAGTAAACTGATAATAAACTGTAAAAAGCCATAAAAAATATCTATGGATTTTGTAATGGTTCACTCGTGGGAGTTGGCAACCCTGCCTTGGTAAGCACCATGAGCTTAATCAGCTACTCTATCGTCAATTGATTTTCGGTAGAGGGGGCTGGACAATGTGCCTGGTCCCAGGACCTAGGTTGGTTGGCTACGCCCCTGACTGTACACTACTAAATGTTGGAGACAAGATTAAAAGGTTATAGCATACAGTACCTGAGTTTAGACATGTCATCATGAGCAGACAGCAGATCAAATAATTCCTCATTGTAGAGCTCAAGAAAGGAGACACGCATCGTGAACTCCAGCTTCTGTATTCGTAATTCATCAAACAAGTGGTTGACACAACGCGGTATGATGCCTGCCATTGGATCCTGGAAGAGTTTATGGGAATTATATGTAAATTTTGCATACAAACAAAATTATTTAATGATTCTAATACACTAAAACCCCATGAATCTTGACTTTCTCAAATCCAGATTTGTCTCTTAACTGGACACCATAAGGAGAGTGGATACCCCTCAGATCTGGACACCAAGCCTAATTTGTAGTAAAATATTACAAATGATGGTTAATATCAAGGAGAGCAGCATGAGAAAGGAGCAAGAGAACTTCATGGCTCAATTAGCTGAATACTGTAGCAGAATTGTTAAATGAGGTTTTATGATAACTAATTAACCTCAATAGGCCTGTATTATTCTCTACCACAAGCAATGTTTTAAGGGCATTCACCTATACCAAAAGTGATTGGAAGGTCGCATAAACACACGATTGTCACGAGTGCAATGAAACTAGAAATCCTAGAGAAATTATAGAAGAATGTGTATTGTAATTTTGATAAGAGAAAGATGGATTAATTAAGTTTACCATATACTGTACGACATTAAGAATGCTAAAGATGGCGTAACACTGGCATTCCTTCGTAATTTTTTGTCAACTTTCAGAAAATCGGTCAAACTTTTTTGCTGTGCACTGTCACACATGCGTTTAGAATCAACTTGCCAGTTTCCCTCGTCCGACAACTGTCAACAAACAAGATGGATCTAACTGACGAAGAAAGCGCAGCAATTCTACGCCTTTTTTGGTGTATGAAGAGTCCTGGTGATCCCAGAGACAGCGGCGCTGCCTTATCTGGTCCACCAAGAACTCCTCGGAGAGACGTGTCCATACTAGAGAAATTATTTTATGTTGGCTCCGTCATGTTGTTATTCCCGCGTGGTCAAAATGTAAACAACAATTACATCTTCTTACCCTTTTTAAAATCACAAAATTAAACAAAATAATGAGTAATCTTGGGAAGAAGAGTAATAATTATTTCATTATAATTATAGTTTTATATTTTAAGTAGAAATTCTTTATTTTTATAACTATTTGTTATAATTGATGCCTTGTTATAATATATATATATATATATATATATATATATATATATATATATATATATATATATATATATATATATATATATATATATATATATACAGAGAGAGAGTACTGTATTGCAACAAATCCATCTTCCATAATTACATGGGTTACTTATGTACAGTACTTACCTCATCCCACGAAGTGGTGTCTGGAGTACGATCTCCTTCCATTGTGAAAGTTTTCCCTGTGCCTGTTTGTCCATATGCAAAGATAGTGCAATTGAAGCCACTAAGAACTTCATCAACACAGTTCTTTGCAACTGATTTATACACATCAATCTGTCACAAAAGAATACATACAAACTTAATTTAATTTTCACTTTTTTTTTTTTACATTAGTTTAATGTAGATACAGTGTGGTATAATAATTAGGCTAATAGGAAAGAAGCAAACTATCCATATACTGTACATGTACATAAAACCAAAGCAGATTTATCAAACAAGCTTGACATTGTCATACACACCTGTTTTGAATCTGGACCAAAAACTCGATCAAAGGTGAAGGTCTTTGCAAACTTATCCAACGGTTTGTCCCGAACAACTAACTCTCTGTTGTTCTGACATTCTATAACACCAAATGACTTGCTATTCTTCTCGAAAGAATTCATTGGTCTGTAAATAAAAAAATTTATTATGAGAAAAGACTTTCAACAGAATGTATTTCAGACACTTACAGTAGTACTGTACTGTACTTTGACAAAGGGGGGCAGGGGAATACTTTCATCAACTGCTAAATGTAACAGATGAGAGACAGGCAGAGTTATATTGTTTGAAATGTGGCATGAAAGCATCTGTAAGAATGAGGAACATTTACATCACTACCATACATAACTGAGATGAAAGCAGGCTTTTCAGCTGGCCATGTAAAAAAAGGTAGGGTTGAAAAATTTAATCAAGAACACTGCACCACTTTACAGGACAGCATATTGTATGGTGTACACCCATATATGAATTGCGAACAAGACAGGAAAGATGGCGCCTAGTGCATCGAAGCTACAACATTATTTATATGAACTGGATGATATGCTATTAAACAATAAACATCAAAGGAAAAACGGATATGGAAACATATATGGAGGGTTCATAGATTGCTGCTGAAACGGACCAAATATGGAGCCTATAATACTCCGTTAAAAGACCTAAGCTTGGGTGAAGAAAATTTAAAAGAATATTTTTGTCTCGGCAGACAACAGTTTGCACATGTTCTTCCCTGGTTGAGGAGGATTTGGCAAAACACTGCAGTAAAAAAGAAAAGTCATTTGCCCAAGTCAGTGACTTGCAATATGTATAACCGTGCCAATTAAAACAACTGTATACATTTCAATGTGATCTATTTTTGGCATTAATGATATTGCGTGAATGGAATCCTAGCTTAAGAGGGTGCTTGAAAGGCCTACATACAGATTTAATGCCCAGTTCCCACTAATAAAAGTGGGTTGGTGATAGGAAGGACATCCAGCAGTAAAACTTGCTTCAAATTTGTCTGAAGGCAGCCAGGAGAGGCAGCAAGAGACCATGCAGCTTCCACATATGCCATTAGGTAAATATGGCTAATCCATGCAAGTGATAAATATGGCCATAATATTGTGAAGAGAAATAATGGGATATGCAGTGACGGAGGCTTATTAGCTCTTCTGTTGTGGCTACTCCTTCAGAAGGGAGCTGGCTGAAGGAGTAAAACATCACAAATAAGGTGTTAGCTACAATCCAAATCTTGGAATCTTTGGGAGAATGATTTAAATAATTTATACTGTACTGCTAATCCTAACAAAAATAAATGAAAATAAAGTTAGACCATTAGTTTAAGTTTGGCTGTTTTGTGTTGCACGCAGGAAGAGGGAAATTGTGGGGTAAAAACAAACAAAATACTGACTAAACCAAACTTAACCTAACTAATGTACTACAGAAAACTTTAAAAGGTGTAATATTTAAGAACAGGTGCCGGGGTTATGGAACCTAACTCGGTAAGACAATATAAAAAAACAAACAAAGAAACAAACGTGAAATCAGCCAGAAAACTAAAATATATAAATAAATAAAGTTGTATCATATTCTTTTTGTTTATGATCTATCTCTGAATATACAAATCAATATAGTTCCATGGTTATCCTTATCCGCATCTTAACCATGATCCTTACACACACACAGCTACAATCAATCCACACACCCACCCACCATCACATCCACACACACCTCCCCAACCACACACCCACCATCACATCCACCCAGCCTCCGACACACCCACCATCACATCCACCCAGCCTCCGACACACCCACCATCACATCCACCCAGCCTCCCACACACCCACCATCACATCCACCCAGCCTCCCACACACCCACCATCACATCCACCCACCATCACATCCACCCAGCCTCACATCCACCCAGCCTCCCACACACCCACCATCACATCCACCCAGCCTCCCACACACCCACCATCACATCCACCCACCATCACATCCACCCAGCCTCCCAAACACCCAGCCTCCCAAACACCCACCATCACATCCACCCAGCCTCCCACACACCCACCATCACATCCACCCAGCCTCCCACAAAGGCATACCTCTGTACATGCTCCAAAATTCCAAGACCAATTCTAACCTTTGAACAAAATAAATGTATTAATGGCACTTTTAATATATACCCTACTTCGACATATTACGCTACATTTAATTGGTAAACATTAAATAAGTTAAACTTGTGGAGTATGTACTTAATAGACATTAATAGGTCAAGTTAATATCTGCGACTGAAATATTTACAGGGAGAGTATTCGCCCTGTCCATTAGCCTTCAACTTTATTTACCTGCATCTGACGAACACCTTGATATTCTGGCCACTACAACCCTTCCGGGCGTTCTTTCTCGGTAGCGAAGGGCTCGCCATCATCGCGAAAAACACTCAGTATTGTATATTATATCGTAAAATAAGGCAAGAAGCTCAGGATAACTCCACCACCAACAGTTTAAACAGAGCAATGGACAGTGTTGACGAGTGGCGTATGCCCGTGTTTGAGTTAGCCAATCAGCCAGCAGCTAGGTTTAGTCACTCGACGCTGATTGGTGGCTGCTTTAAAGGCTGGGATACGGGTGTATCATGAATTAATTTTATCTACCGTATATACATCGTTCATATTATTATCAAGTAGTTGCATTATTATTTTAGGTTAATATTTAGTAGTTTACAGCACCTAATTATATATTGAGACTCACATAGGGACAAAGAAAAAAATATTGTATAGCGTTTCCATCGGAAATTTATATTTTTCCAGTGTTTTAACCAAAATAATTACCAATATTTTAGTTAGTTGTTCAAAATGGGCAGGGTCTCTGGAGACGAGGGAAAATGTGGGGTAAAATACATTATGATCAAGGAATATCACAAGGATCTAGAGATGGTGTCGGCTATTTGTTCACAGCTTCACCGCACGCTAGCCACCAGGCAGCGCGGCTCTAACACCATACACAGTTGGTTGTTTGTGGAAGAAACAAGAGTTAATTTATGAGGAAACAGCTACCACCGGAAGGAATTGTTCTATTTCGTTCTTTTTTTCACAAATGTTCTTATCATTATAATAAGCACCGGTATTTTAAAATAGGCAACAATTTTTATTTTTATTATAAATATTTTACTTATTTTTTTAGTTTTTCTTTATCTATGATCTTAAATCACCTGTAGTGGGCAGGCGAAAAACTTATCATATGACACTAAAATTATGTGTCTACGTGCTTTGTACGTGAAGAATTTATTTATTTACCATACTCCTAAACATCTGCCGAGTCACCGCTCGGTCCGAGCGTTTTCTCACGTTCACAAAAAACGTAAAATTAAACCATGACACTTCTACACTTTTACTTTTTTTTACTTTTATCCTCTTCGCCACTGATCGGCTTGTTAGCCGCTTGGGCGATCGGTCACGTCTCTATTAGCACTGTTGGCAAGTACTGGGCATGCCGGCTCCTGAATGTATCTGAACCTGCTCCAGTGCTGGTCAAGTCTGGTCTTGAAACAGCTCACACTCGGTGCCGTCACAACACTCCCTGACAGGTTAGTCAACTCCAGAGTTCACAATTCTCACTCAGAAAAAAGTTATCCTCACAGTTTTCTGGACTTGTTATCTTTAACCGAAAGCGACCCGTTTGGTGAGACGAAGGCGTCACTGGGCTCTGGGTATGGACTCGACTGAGTAGTGCCCCTTTGTTGTTTATACACCCAGGGCCGGCGCTACCCACTAGGCGAACTAGGCGATCGCCTAGGGCGCCAACATCTGGGGGCGCCACAAATTCAGGGCAAACTTGGATAAAATTAAAAATGAAGGGAAAACTGTGGTGGACACTGTGGTGGAGCCGTGGAGGGTCGGAGCAGGATGTTAGAAGGGGGGGGGGTCGGAGGGAGGCGAGGGTAGGTAGACGGTAGCCGACTGTGTTTTCTTTTTTAATATTATTCGTTAACCCCCCGGAGGGACTAACCCGTGTCCTTATCTTTGGCGGCCTGGAGAACTGTCGAGCAGTGACCTGAAGGCTGACATCTGAGGAACCCTTCTCCCAACCCCACCATCCCCTCCCCTCCCTTACTGCCACTTACTGCCAGGGCGGCTGAGCCGCCCCTTCCCTGTCTTTGTCGGGATGAGGCAAGGTTACCTGACCTCTGAAGTTTACGTCAAGGATTTATTGACTTAATGTAATAACAATAATTGGTTATTTGCATGGGTGAAGTAATAAAGCCACAAGATGAAAACAATGTAGTAATGGGTTACTGTACCTACATTAGCTTATCAAAACTTTCAAGGGGGCGCACATCTAAAGGCTTGCCTAGGGCGCCAAATCATCTTTCACCGGCCCTGTATACACCCCAATTGGGTCACCTTGCCCTTCTGTAGTATAAGCTAGGCAGTTGCAGATGTTCTAATCTCTCTGGATAGCTGAGGGTGCCGAAGTGCAGGCACAATCTGGTAGCCATAAAAATCCTGCTGTAGTACTTTCTTAGCTTAGGGGGGTCCGCCCTCCGGCAAAAAAGAAAGGTAACAGGTTAGGGAGGTTCTAGAAATGTTTATATTTTGCAAATACTGTACTGGCTATGGATGGACCTCACTGTTGTTACATTCACATTTCCCACTAATATTTTTAAGTCAGGATAATCTGATCAATTTATGAAATATTGTTATGTGTCGTGGAAATAATAATACCTGAAAGTGATTTTTGTTATGAATTCAGTTTTTGTCAGCAGGGAAAGCTATCGACTGAAGATGGTATCGCCCCAGCCTCTCTGAACTCTTGATCATTCTCCGCACCATGTGACTTCACTGCATGAGGAGCACGTGACTCGGCCAGCCTATGATGATTGATAGGTTAGGTTAGAGTTAGCCAGTGTTGCAGTGCCAATTTTTACGGTACAGGAGCTGTCAAAATAATTTCCGTTTCCTAAACCGTTTTATATATATATATATATATATATATATATATATATATATATATATATATATATATATATATATATATACATATTGATAAAATCACACGGGAAAGAGAAACAACGGAGCACCTTAGCTTTCGTCTTTATTCAAGGAATCTTCCAGAAATAGCTGAGTTACTCTGAATAATTTTTCATTGTGGATCTACATATATATATATATATATATATATATATATATATATATATATATATATATATATATATATATATGTGTGTGTGTGTGTGTGTGTGTGTGTGTGTGTATGTCTGGTATGTTATAATTTAATTCATTCATCACATGGCTGATATATGCTATTGTTCATTACTTTATTTCACATTTGTACTACATATTTTGTGAGTTTCTTCAAGACATATTTAACCTTCTGAATATTACAAAGGGTACCTACTGTATTAGTTATCATTTGTGAATATATATAAACCCATACATTATCTTTGTTCATGGGGAATAAAACAAACATTCGTCACTTTTTTTTTATTTCAGATACCACAACTGGCTGTCTCTACACCCCAGTGACAAGCAACATCGAGCAGTACTGTTAAGTTTCGTACCTGGCTCCGTTATCTCAAAGATCTGTAAGTTGTTCCCCCGTAATTGGAGATAAGAAAGAGCATTTTGTTACAGAAATGTTTTAATACAATCTCCATACCATTTCACCTGGTAATTTGTGACATAGTTCAAGTGAGTTGTTCTTAAGATATCTGAAATACAAGGAACACTTTTAACAGATACACGCTTGAGAATCACGGCCCAGAACGGCAAATCTGCACGGCATTATATCGTTGGTCAAGTTGTGCTTTGGTTATGGCACTACTGGTAGCTGGAAATCTCATAGAATAACAATGTATCGTGCACATTCTTTGTTAAAATGTTAGCATGTAAATATAATCCTATTTAACTCAATCATGTTAGTAGCTCTCATGTGGAAAAGCTCTTGATTAGGCGTGAAGCTGGCGTCATCTAAGAGTGCTCTGAACAAGGAACAGGTGGAACAACAGAGTTCCAAAAACGTCAGAAACACAATGTTAAGACGATACGCGCGCAGCTCCTTTAACAGTAACGTCACAACCAGGAAAAAACGTAATTGTAATAAATCTATTAACAAAAACCTAAGAATATAAAAACGAGTACATCACAGGGAATGTTTGGGTCGCAGTCTTTATATGAGCGTTGGGGTTTAAGGAATTGCTCTGTAAATATCGCCAGGGGTATGCCCACTGTATTCCATGATATTCTTTATATTCTGAATCTTCTCTAGAGTTTGGAGTAAGACTAATTTGGACACGCTAACACTAATACCTATGTTCTAGGATCAAAATCTTAATACTGGCGATATTTCGAGGGCAGCTTACAGGTACAAAATAACACCACTGCCACCGATAACCACATAAATAAAAAAATAATGCCCATATGCACCTACACCACCGCCTGCATCTCACCACGTCTCTTTCAATCCATACCAACACCACTGTCAACCGCAATGCAACAATTTCTGGGTTAGTATTTGGCAGGGCTGGTTGTTGGATCACCTCTCACCTCTGTATGGCAGCTAACCTCACTAATACAAATATCACTGTATAGCAAATCACGGTTACCGAAGAGAAAGAGTATTGACAAAAAGTTTCTGAAAATATTGAGGTTAATGTGAGGACAACTGATATAGACTTAGGTGAGCAGAGTCCACTACTACACGGGGGAGCCTCTGATCCATGACTGCTTGTGGATGAGCAGTTACCTCTTCTGAGAAAAGTTACTGATCTTACATGTTACAGCAGTATTGGTGGTTTCTTTCAGCACTCGTTTGCAAGCTCTCAAAAGATTTTCTCATGGTAATGGGCAAGTGAACTAACATACAAAAAAAAAAGATTAATATCATATTGTATGAAAGCTTGGATAACGTGACAGCTACAGGAAAGCACCATTATTTTATTGAGCATTTTTTTTTATGGAATTCATCTTAATAGCTTTCAGAGTATCTTTACTAAATACCTTTCGAACAATCACAACTATGTAGACGAAAGATTTTATAAAGCATATCATTCATGATGTAACAGGAGCACATCACAATTCCCGGGACCTGTCCTGTCGAACCTTCCCAGCAGAACCTGTGCAAGTCCATTGTTAGTTATTCAACAACAGTCCTACGGTATAGTACATCATTAAGTGCTCTTGTCAGGAAGGCCAAATTTCTTCTGGTATCATCTATCACACGTCCATCAGGTAATGTTTACATTCCTGAAAGGAACACCAGACCTCAAGGGAAAAGAAGGTTATAGCCCACTAAGAGGAACCCCACAGCAACTCAGAAGAATGTGCAACGAAGCCTTCAGAAGATATCCAGGACGGCTAGAGTTCCCTCAATGGATTATAAGAGCACCTTGGGTGCAGTGCTTGAAATTACTAAAACAGTTTACCTAAATACTGTACTCTGTAATGCTCGTACCATGAAAGAAAAAATGAACGCCACTATTGGTAGACGGCTGGCGTAGTTTCTGAAGCGTCTGATTGCTTAGTGGAAAGGAACACAGGATGGTGTTTTGTTTATGGTGTGAATCTAAAATCCTCTTGGGAAGACCAAAATGCTCTCAGAGCACCGCCAGAATTCATCAATAAAGACATGGTTTAGAGTTCTTAGGGACAGCTGCATGAAGCCTTTGAAAGGTATTCAAGAACCCCCTGAAGTCAACAAGTTCCTCGGTTGGCATTAAAAACTCTCTGAGAAGATATCGAAATTCTGACGAGCATGTGAAAGATCCCAGAAATTGGATGGCAAAGATCTCTAACAGATCTCCCCCCAAAAAAATCCCCTAAAAGAACTTTATTACTCTCCTAAAATGGACGGCAAAAGTCACGTAAAATGGTCTCAAGAATCTCGTGAGAGGCGCTTCAGTATCGCTGAGGATTTCAAGAATAGTTCCAATATTATTTCTTCTTTCCATCTTGCAGGATCTTTTTCAGCCAGTTCAGGTTGCCCTTGTTGTGATCACCCACCACCAACACGATCGGCGTCCTGTAGAAGGGAGAGAAGTCGACTGAGTGACGCGTTTTGTTGAGACAGACATCCGGGAAGTACAGAGAGATATATACACAAAGATATAACCTGACAATGTGACAATATTTAAGCTAGATTCACCTGGTACACTATGGGACATTACGAGTCAACTCAAGACGTCAGCCATGTGGGCCTGGAAACACATGCCACAAATGTTGAAAGAGGATAGGTGTAGCTGTCTCTGGTGTCTCCAAACAGGACTTTAAGAATGAAAATATTTAACAAAAATCGATAAATATTGGATTACATGAAGACTAGACTTTCCACTTTATCCTACACGACCATTAACCTAATCCACCAGGTAGAATTAGTGCGATTAATCTTCGAGTGAAAGAAGCTAGAGTTTCTAATCTTCCGATGATCCGAAATATGTGCTACGTTACAAGGTCCGAGAGAATCAAGTGACCACAATGTCAACAAACCTTTCATTGTGCCCACTTCCGACACTGTACGGCAGCACCTCCCGTCCTCCTTGGTATCTCAGCCTGTCATCATCATCATCATCATTATCATCATCATCAACATCATCGCTGTCTCCAGATTCTTTGTTTTTGTTTTTAATTCTCTCTTTGCTATCTGAAGTTTCGTCACAGTCGCAGCAGCAACCTGTTAGACATTCTGAACTCTCGCCCAGGGTGTCTACAGGTTGGCCAGGGTAAGGGTGTGTTTGTCCTGGTTGTGTTTGTCCTGGATGTGTTTGTCCTGGTTGTGTTTGTCCTGGATGTGTTTGTCCTGGGTGTGTTTGTCCTGGATGTGTTTGTCCTGGTTGTGTTTGTCCTGGATGTGTTTGTCCTGGTTGTGTTTGTCCTGGATGTGTTTGTCCTGGATGTGTTTGTCCTGGATGTGTTTGTCCTGGTGTGTTTGTCCTGGATGTGTTTGTCCTGGTTGTGTTTGTCCTGGATGTGTTTGTCCTGGTGTTTGTCCTGGTTGTGTTTGTCCTGGATGTGTTTGTCCTGGATGTGTTTGTCCTGGTTGTCCCATGCGTTTTGTCCTGGTTTTTGTTTTGTCCTGGATGTGTTTGTCCTGGTTGTGTTTGTCCTGGATGTGTTTGTCCTGGTTGTTTTTGTCCTGGATGTGTTTGTCCTGGTTGTGTTTGTCCTGGATGTGTTTGTCCTGGTTGTGTTTGTCCCGGATGTGTTTTGTCCTGGTTGAATGTGTTTGTCCTGGACCTGGTGGTGTGGTTGTGGATGTGTTTGTGTCCTGGTTGTGTTATGTGTTTGTCCTGGTTGTGTTTATGTGTTTGTCCTGGATGTGTTTGTCCTGGTTGTGTTTGTCCTGGTTGTGTTTGTCCCTGGATGTGTTTGTCCTGGATATGTGTTGTCCCTGGTGTGTGTTTGTCCTGGATGTGTGTTTGTCCTGGATGTGTTTACCTGGATGGATGTGTTTGTCCTGGTTGTGTTTGTCCTGGTTGTGTTTGGATGTTTTGTCCTGGTTGTGTTTGACCTGGATGTGTTTGTCCTGGTTGTGTCCCTGGATGTGTTTGTCCTGGTTGTGTTTGACCCGGATGTGTTTGTCCTGGTTGTGTTTGTCCTGGATGTGTTTGTCCTGGTTGTGTTTGACCTGGATGTGTTTGTCCTGGATGTGTTTGTCCTGGATATGTTTGTCCTGGATGTCCGGTTGTGTTTGTCCTGGTTGTGTTTGGCCTGGTGATGTGTTTGATGTTTTGTCCCCTGGATATGTTTGTCCTGGATGTGTTTGTCCCTGGATTGTGTCCCCTGGATGTGTTTGTCCTGGTGTGTTTGTCCTGGATATGTGTTTGTCCTGGTTGTGTTTGTGGATGTGTTTGTTTGTGTCCCTGGTGTGTTTGTCCTGGTTGTGTTTGTCCTGGATGTGTTTGTGTTTGTCCTGGTTGTGTTTGTCCTGGTTGTGTTTGTCCTGGTTGTTTGTCCTGGTTGTGTTTGTCCTGGTTGTGTTTGTCCTGGATGTGTTTGTCCTGGATGTGTTTGTCCTGGTTGTGTTTGTCCCGTTTGTGTTTGTGTTTGTCCTGGATGTGTTTGTCCTGGATGTGTTTGTCCTGGTTGTGTTTGTCCTGGTTGTGTTTTGTCCTGGTTGTGTTTGTCCTGGTTGTGTTTGTCCTGGTTGTGTTTGTCCTGGATGTGTTTGTCCTGGATGTGTTTGTCCTGGATATGTTTGTCCTGGATGTGTTTGTCCTGTTGTGTTTGTCCTGTGTGTTTGTCCTGGATGTGTTTGTCCTGGTTGTGTTGTGTCCTGGATGTGTTTGTCCTGGATGTGTTTGTCCTGGATGTGTTTGTGTCCCTGGATATGTGTTTGTCCTGGATGTGTTTGTCCTTGGATGTGTTTGTCCTGGATTGTGTTTGTCCTGGTTGTGTTTGTCCTGGATGTGTTTGTCCTGGATGTGTTTGTCCTGGTGTGTTTGTCCTGGATGTGTTTGTCCTGGTTGTGTTTGTCCTGGATGTGTTTGTCCCGGATGTGTTTGTCCTGGATGTGTGTCCTGGTTGTGTTTGTCCTGGTGTGTTTGTCCTGGATGTGTTTTGTCCTGGATGTGTTTGTCCTGTGATGTTTTGTCCTGGTTGTGTTTGTCCTGGTTGTATTTCCTGGATGTGTTTGTCCTGGATGTGTGGGATAAGGCTTAGAGGGCTGTGTTTGTCCTGGAATTGGTCTGGGTGGGCTTGTTTGTCCTGGAATTGGTCTGGAGGGGTGTGTTTGTCCTGGAATTGGTCTGGAGGGTGTGTTTGTCCTGGAATTGGTCTGGAGGGGTGTGTTTGTCCTGGAATTGGTCTGGGTGGGCTTGTTTGTCCTGGAATTGGTCTAGAGGGTTGTGTTTGTCCTGGAATTGGTCTGGAGGGTGTGTTTGTCCTGGAATTGGTCTGGGGGTGGTTTGTCCTGGAATTGGTCTGGGTGGCTCCTGGGGTCTAGTGTGTTTGTCCTGGAATTGGTCTGGAGGGGTGTGGTCCTGGAATTGGTCTGTGGGCTTGTTTGTCCTGGAATTGGTCTAGAGGTTGTGTTTGTCCTGGAATTGTGTTTTGTCCTGGAATTGGTCTGGAGGTGTGTTTCTCCTGGAATTGGTCTGGAGGGGTGTGTTTGTCCTGAATTGGTCTAGGGGTTGTGTTTGTCCTGAATTGGTCTGTTGGTGTGTTTGTCCTGGAATTGGTCTGATTGGGTGTGTTTGTCCTGGAATTGGTCTAGAGGGTTGTGTTTGTCCTGGAATTGGTCTAGAGGGTTGTGTTTGTCCTGGAATTGGTCTAGAGGGGTTGTGTTTGTCCTGGAATTGGTCTGGAGGGGTGTGTTTGTCCTGGAATTGGTCTGGTTGGGTGTGTTTGTCCTGGAATTGGTCTGGGTGGGCTTGTTTGTCCTGGAATTGGTCTGGAGGGGTGTGTTTGTCCTGGAATTGGTCTGGGTGGGCTTGTTTGCCCTGGAATTGGCCTGGGTGGGCGTGGTTGTCCTGGGTGTGGTATTCCTGGATGTGGTTGTCCTGGGTGTGGTATTCCTGGGTGTGGTTGTCCTGGGTGTGGTATTCCTGGGTGTGGTTGTCCTGGGTGTGGTATTCCTGGGTGTGGTTGTCCTGGGTGTGGTATTCCTGGGTGTGGTTGTCCTGGGTGTGGTAATACTGGTCCTGGAAGTGGTAGTTTACCTGGGTATGGTTTAACTGGACCAGGCGTGGGTGCTGTGCCTATCTGGCAAGGACAGGGAAAAATGGGAGAGATTGTGATGGGTGGACTGGGTGGCAGGGTGATGGGGAAAAAGGGTGGTATAGTGGGTGTAGAGGGTGTAAGGGGAGTAGGGGGTGTAGGGGGAGTAGGGGGTGCAGGGGGAGTAGGGGGTGTAGGAGGAGAAGGGGGTGTTGGTGGTTGGACGGCTGCTGCCTCAGAACACAATCTCAGTGGTGGCCAATTGGATGGCAACGCCCCCGACTCTGTTGAGGAAACAAGGACATGAAAAAAACAGGTTGTGTTAGCAAACAATCAAAATCGATTCAGAACACATGGAGTTTGAAGTAAATAGACTCTAGTCTATATACAATATATCTAAACTAATAAAAGTCTCTATGTAATGATATAATCAACCAAAAATCTCTTCTTTTATCTTTTCAACAGTAATTGGCGTACCGCTAGGTGTTCTCACTTGGGTCTATGCTGTAACCAGACCAGTTTTAGTCATATGAACGGAAAACTTACTGTTCATAGGCAGGAAAACCAGGGAAAAAGTCACATGAGCTAGACAGAGATAAATAAATACTGTACAGGGAAGATGAGTAAATATAAGGGTTACATGGAGAGAATGGCCAGATGTACGCTGTAAGGGCTCAAAGGAGAAACCTAAACAGCTGGAGCAACATGGGCGGATCCAGGGGGGGTCCAAAGTGGCTGAGAAACATGACGAGCGAGCCCCCAGCTGGGGGGGGTTAGTGCTGTAAGCCTCCCAGATTTTTTTTTTAATCTGACCAATATCAAGGGCACTTTTGAGGACATTTTGAAGTCATGTGCACTTGATATTAGGAGATATTTTGAGGTCAATAGTAATTACTTTTTACTGTGCAAAAACGCCTGAGTACAATACTGCATTATAGAAAAAGTATTGGAATTTTTAAATGAAAAGGGGGGTTTGGAACCCCAGGACCCCCCCCCCTAGATCCGTCCCTGAGCAACAGGCAGACTCGAAGCTCGATTGGGAAGCGAACAGACCCCAAAAAACCAGCTTAGTGGGGAAAGCAGACAGACAAAGATTTTAGTGGGGCGGCAGTGAGATACACACTCACCACCGAAAGAACTCTTAAATACTCACTGGGAGAGCATTTGGCCTGGTTGGGCCAGACACACACGTGAAGAGTCCAGTGGAATTGCGTCCCTCTAGGGCACTCCATGAGGCAGCCTCGTCCGTTGGAACAAGAGAAGAACTGACCACAGTTCCACTCATGAGGAAAAAGGCCGTTAGGGGCGCCGCAGAAAGCATCGACATGGCCCGCACTCCTCTCGCTCAACTCAACAGGTGGGGTCTTGATGCCGAAGTAAGATAGCCGCTCTTTGGCCAACAACAGGGGTGATCCTGCAGAACAAAAAGTAGGTTAAGTTTATATTAAAGGAGGGATAAGGTTCAGGTATTATCCGTTACGTTAGGCTAGGTTCATATTAATGCAGGATTAGACTAAATAAGGTTACGTCTTATTTGAGGTAAGTTTAAGCTACAAAAACGTTAGGGTAGGTTAAGATTATGCTTGTAAAAAAATTATGGTAAAATACACAAGGTTACGTCAGATGAGGTTAACTTTTCAAAGCTATTTTAGCCTACATGATGGTGCTCACCTTCTGGAACCATCCTCTTTATCTCCTTGATTACTATGTTTTAAAGTGTTTAGATAACAAAAAGACACCGACTTTCGTGTTATTTCCAAGTGGACATCAACTTATAATTCAGGTGATAATAACAGCTCTAAACTACACAAAATAAATGACAAATATTCTTTCTCTTGTCACTCTGGGAACCACCTGGGCTATAGAAAAAGGAATGAAAATGTTTCATGAGAGGTAATTCTCACACAGCTTAAACCAGTAAGTGAAGGCGAAGTCACACTGTTATGGTAACATTCACTTACACACCATTCTGCTGTGTGAACCAATTACATTTACACGTGGAATTTATTTCATCTATCTATTTCATAGTTTTGTTCACATCTTTACTCAAGGAAATTGACAATCGAATGCACCAGTTGATGTCCCCTCCTTCCGGGAAGATACTAACTCGAACACACATTGACAAGTTCAGCTCCAGGTACTGCTTCTCCTCGTGTATCATATAAAGTTGTTGTTGATGTTATGATGTATTACTGCGCTCCAACAACTAAGGTCTTTTAAGCGAGTATATTCTAGGATAGCACCGTACTGTAGATGTAACCAACAGTGACAAAACTGAGGAACAAAACAGATTCTTCTTGTATCATTACCGAGCATGTTCCTCTCACCAAACAGGATATCTCTCTCTCTCTCTCTCTCTGAGTATACAACACGTACACCTGTCACCTCTCCACATCACGGTCAGTAAATAACATTATCTCTAACATCCCTAATATATAAGTTCTCTGACCCTCGGTAAGTCGCCATGAATAAGAACCCAGCAAGAACACGAGAACAAAAATGGTCATCGGGGGTTTGGATTTTCAAGCTTCGTTCGCCATATTTCCCATCCAGCTGAATGGTCATGTAAGAACGCTTCAAACAGACTCGCTTTACTTATGGCACAAAGAGTACAACTTAAATGGTGTCGAAATTACACTGAAACTCCTCTCTTTTTTTTTTATAACTAGACGTGTTATCATATCATATGCTCAGATAGGTATAAGACAACGAACATTCAAAACTCGAGGCTAACGGGATCCAGCTGTTGGACAAAACAGAAGACGATCATCAACAAAGAGATCCAGGAACAGAGGACGAGAGCTGTGTTGAGTACGTGGGCGTCGACTCCTAGATAATAACCTCTATTGTCCATCATAAACCAAACCAGCTACGCTAATCAACATGCACGCCACCTATGAGACTTGAGCTTTACTTTCCAATATGTAAACCCCAGTAGACCCGGCATGACCTGGCAGATTATATCCTGGTTCACAGATTCACAGGATTTGTAAGGTAAGTTTCCCCCGTTTAAACAATCAAGCGACTCGCCATTAATCTGAGAACGAGTTTTCATGAACAAATGCCTGCTACCACCTCGGTCAGCGTGATCAATGTTGTCTAATGCCATCTTGAACATAAGTGGGGAGGTGTCTTACGTTATACATTACTTATGCATGCGAACTGTCAGGATGTTCTTGTACCAGGAGCCGATACGACGTGTCGAACAGCCTGCAACCAGCGCCAGAAATACTGTAACTTCACGGGGTACAAGGATCTTCCCCATGATGCTATCACGGGGAATCGCTGCCAATTTTCACCTTGGCTGGTTCATATGTTGTAGTGGTCTATGAATCGGTACATTGAACTTATTCTTTCAGACGTGTAGCCAGAAATTTCTTACGGTGTATCTATAATGGTAACTTAGGTCAGCTGCTGCCCGAGCACCATCACGAACGGGTAGTGCAAAATGCAAGTCTCCAGGAGGTCTACACTTTTCCTAAATTTTAGACGCAAGAAAGAAGCTCGGTTATTGCTACCACAAAGACTGGGAAAGATGGGGAGTGTGTTTGTGGCGAGTCTCCCGTAAACACCCTCTCTTCTTTACTCCACGCTTTTGGGTTAATTTTATTCTGTTTAAAAGTTTGTGTCGACATCTTCTTGTACGAAGTTGGCAACCCGTTTACCCAGAGTATCTCAACAATATCTTCTCTACTCATTTTACCATAAATCTATCTATCTATCTACTGGATTAACCAACCTCAAAGAAAAATAAAGCGATTTTGTAGGTAAATATAAAAGTACAATAATTCTGTAGTACCTTTACAAACATTGAAATATTTCCTATCCATCTCTATCTATCTATCTATCTATCAATCTATCTATTGAATCAACCAACCTCAAAAACTAAAAAAAAAAAAAACCCAACTTCGGATCACTTGAAGATTAGACACCCAATTAAACATATTCCACCCGAGGATTAACCACCCAAATGCTAACCTAAGGCACCCCCCCCCCACCACCCCAGGTAGCGTTACGGTGCTTAATCTTCACGTGACTTGAATATTTCGGGGGTAAAATATTGTCCAAGGAGGCAGATTGGTGTGGTGATGATTTTAAAAGGTAAATATATCTCTAGTAAAGGATGGACAGAGTGAAAAATCTTTGATGAGTGGCCGTGAGTGAGTGACCGTGAGGAGTGACTGATGGTGAGGAGTGAGTGATTGTGAGGAGTGAGTGATTGTGAGTAATGAGGGGACCGTGAGGAGTGAGTAACCGTGAGGAGTGAGTAACCGTGAGGAGTGAGTGACCGCGAGGAGTGAGTTACCATGAGTGGAGAGTGGACAGGTGAACAGCAGCAGCAGGAGGACAGTCAGCTTGGGGTAGGGGCGTGGCGTTGGCGTCTCCATGGCAACTTAACAGCTGTTTTCTGTCTGTAGGTTACAACAAAAACATTCATTATTTTTTTAAATACTATTATTAATACTAGTTACTTTTTTAATGTACTTTTATTAATACTAGTTACTTTTTAATATACTTTTATTAATACTTTACTTTTTTAATATAATTTTATTAATACTTTACTTTTTAATGTACTTTTATTAATACTAATTACTGTCGTATATATTTTACGCAACACTAATTATTTTAATTTTTTATTTTATAAGCGTGAAAAATGTGTGTGTGTTGTGTGTGTGTACGGATTGATGCATAGACGTAAGTACAGTATATATCATGTAATTATAGTATGTCCACAGATATATTATATACCGGATGTTTAATGTGTTCATTACGGTAATCTCGGTAAACACAAACTACGGATTTCAGTGTCGGTACAAATATACAAATGCTACCGTGACCCTTTTTTTAATGTATGCATAACTAAATGGATTGTGCAGTACTTGTATTACGGACGAAATCACATACACAGGCGCGCGTACACACACACACACACACATGGTGAGGACTCCTGCAGGCCAGATAGCTAACCACAGCCAGTAAGATATAAGAATTTTTACCACCAATTATTACGTAATATAAGTCAACTCTTACAACGCCAATCATATAACTAATAACCCTTAAATATACGTGTGTGTGTGTGTGTGTGTGTGTGTGTGTGTGTGTGTGAGAGAGAGAGAGAGAGAGAGAGAGAGAGAGTGAGTAGTTTGTCTGCCTCTGTCTGTCCATATATTTCGCAGTTATCACTTCTCTCTCTCTCTCTCTCTCTCTCTCTCTCTCTCTCTCACCCGGGGCATATCACCGTGGCTCGTGCCCTTGGGGGGACTGGACTCGAGCAGATATTATCCCACATGCGACACAGAAAGGCCCCCCCCTCTCTCTCTCTCTCTCGACTAAGTCTCTTCCTTCTATCTCTTAGCAACGCATCTCTCTATCTCTCAGCCACGTCTCTCAATCTCTCTGATATCCTTTGAGACAGAAGTTTATGAGAACTCTGGTAGGTCATTTCAAGTGTCCGTAAGGCGATTCCTACTGGTATGAGATGAGGTTAGGTTAAGTTAGGGCAAGTTGGTGGGAGGTCATGTTAGGTTAGTTTGAACAAGTTAAGGTAGGTTAGGTTAAGCCTAGGTTAGGTTAAGTCAGGTTAGGTTTCACTACTATAGATTACGGTAGTTCAGAAAGTCACTCAGTTAACTTGGGGCGAGTCGAAAAATAAGTGGAGTGAGTATGACTAGTGTGTGTGTGTGTGTGTGTGTGTGTGTGTGTGTGTGTGTGTGTGTGTGTGTGTGTGTGTGTGTGTGTGTGTGTGTGTGTGTGTGTGTGTGTGTAGCGTGCCAGACTCACCTTCATGATCATATAGGGTACAAGAAGGTGGGTGGTGACTCGCCCTGTGGTACAAAGGTCTCTGACAGTGTGACAGTCCAGGCAAGAGTGCTGAAGGGTATATATTATGAGCTGTGGGACTATTACAGAGGTTAGAGGAGTGCTGGATCATCCGCCATCTCAGAGACTTGCCAGAGAGGTCTTAAGAGTTAGGTTAGGTTAAGTTAGGTTAGGGGTGAGATCTTCGTCAGCCTCCCCTCCCCTCCCATCTAGGGTCGTCTACCACAGAAACTAGTCCCCAGGTCAGCGGATGGATATTAATGTGGCAACTTAGGTGGTGACAGCGACAACCACATCGAGGAAAAACGCACCACACAATTAATTTTCGGCTGATATCATCGCCGCAGTTGTCAGGGCAGGGCGGTGTCAGTGCTGCATCCTACGCTTCCCCTTGTTGATTTAGGCGCCTACTAAGGACACTGTTCATTTTCATATGTCGGAATCCCTACTTAATCTATCTCCAGTTATAGCTGATTTATTAGTTTATATGACACAGAATGCAAACATGGGAACATTTAACATACAAACCCGAATCAAAACAACTACTAAATATTTTGTAAACTCAACAGATTAGTGTTATTATCTCCGTCGGGACTTATGTGATGTCTACGATACATAATTGTCTAAATTATTCATGTCGAACGTAACTTATCACACAGAATTTTACCAAACTCTTTATTAGACAATATTACTTCACTCAATCTGTGATACATCTACTGAAATTGTGTTTGTTTTGGGATACTGTCGAGTCGAGATACGTAAATTTCCACGCCGGGAATATTTACCCCTGTCATCTTGTTTTAGCGTCGTATCCCAACAGTAAACAATATCAAGAGAACATAACACATCCTCCACCTGTGGCTTATTACATAACAAAGGGACCAGATCATAGGGTCGCAGGGGAACCAAAGAGCAAGCGCACGTCACCCATCTATTTACTCATTACAAATAGAAACACAGATAAAAAAGCTGGTTGGCGTGACCCCTGCACCCTCAACACGGAGATAGTGTGTTCATCTACTAATCCCAATGATACAACGCTCACCTCCTGTCCTAAGGGTCGTAGGCTCGATGCCAGGACGCTCTCAATCCACCCAGTTGAAAATAGTGACCTACATAGCAGAAAGCAGTCCAGTACATAGCCAGCCAGCCACACTGTCTCCTTGTGTCCCCCAGTATGCTGTATCGACGCTATACCTAATGGGTAGTCATACCTAGGTGACCCACTTTCACTTATTTTCGGTCATTCTTTCACATTTGCGAGTCCTTCCATATCACAGTTCTGTTATGGAGGTCGCACCCATATCATCCCTAATTTCGAAGACTAGTTAAGCTCTCTATCTATCTATCTATCTTTCTATCTATCTATCTATCTATCTATCTATCTATCTATCACTACACGAAGGAGGAGGTCACCAACACTGACCTTGCCAGTATATGACTCACAGACGATAACACTTCAAAGTAATTACTCCACTGTATCATGACTGTAATAATGTCGAGTGCACGTCTTCCAGCCCCACCAACACTTATTAAAAAAAGAGTTTGAGATTAATAACAGTAATTACAGGTGTGTTATTTGTCCTGGTTTATTACCTGTGTGGCGTGGTATTGCTTAACCTAGTATCAATGGTGATTTAGGATATTGGGGTCTTCTTGCCATAGTCTTGGTGTAATTTCGACGCCATTTTGTTGATTTTCTGCCTTACTGGGTCATTAATCTTTTGAGGACAATAGTTTGACCCCTGAGGACGATGATTTAAGCTTTTTGAGGAGGAGGATTTAACCCAACAGGATTCAAAGGGTTAGAAATGGTTTTAAAATACAAGTTAGGGCAGAGGGGGTAAGAGGAGGGGTGAGGTGAGGTGAAGGGGTGAGGAGGTGAGAGGAGGGAGGGGGTTTATCGTACCACCCTTGAAAATTTAGCTATCAGGATTTCACACACCCGTAAGTGAAATTGTTGTTTTGGTTGTAGCTATAACTCCCCTCCCCTCCTCGGGCTTATTAATAAAGAAAATGACGTCAAATTGGTACTGAGACTCAAATCTTAAGTGTATTACGTCGCCAGGGTAAGGGTGAAGGAGTCAAGGGTACCGGGTGTTCGAGACTGTGGATGGAGTGCCTCGTTCTGGGGTTCGTGTCGGGTGTTATTACTCATGGGATCAATACACTCCAGGGTCTAGATGGCTGATTCACAAGGGTTCGTAGGGCTTTGATTCACAAGGGTTCGTAGGACTTTGATTCAAAAGGGTTCGTAGGAGTTTGAGTTACAAGGGTTAGTAGAACTGATTCACAAGGGTTTATACGACTCCGATTCTGTCTCAGATTGATTTGTACTCATGCACCTTGAAACTGGACCTGTGGTATTGTTGTCAGATGACGTCAGTGCTGGACACGCTACTCTATGGTATAATCCTTACATCATGTTAGACGTGTCCATCATCTTCCCCACGTGCTCTGCGGTACACTCTTGATGAAGATTCCTACTCTCCCAGATGGTCGTCATAGCTCGGCTCGTGTACCCAGTGTGTTGGTTTTCTCCGAACACTTTCCGCTGCAGGGATGTCATTATACTCTTACAGATGCCACACGACATTAGCTTACCCTCACAGTGGACGGCCCTGAGCCTTGTACAGCCATCTAAAAACTTAAATATCCGGGTAAGTGAATAAACACCACAAAAAGCTCTTCGTCTGGTTTGTAATATGAAACTCAGATAAATTGTCAGTCACAGCTCTGCTTTGCTTCTTCAGCTCAATTACCTTATCTTTATCCTTTATATAATATGTCCTCTGGCTGTTTCCTCCTGTCCTGCCAGCACACATCACCTTGTACTTATCTGGACGGTAGCGAAGCAACCATGTCTGAGACCATTAAAGTGTCTGCATGGACCCGTTTGCTGCTGCATTTGCCGTTCATCGATCAGACTGTAAATGCTGGTACATGTTCGCATCGTCTGCACATAAGTACACACGCTTCTGAGGACACACAACCAGGTGAGTTAATAATATATTTGGAAAAAAAAAGAAAAACAAAACAAAGGATTGGGCCTAATACAATCTACTCAAACAGCCCAGTCAGATCAGAATCTATTTATATATATATTCTTCCTCCTCTGTCATTTGATACACGTTAAACCCAAGGGTGTGTTAATCTAGTGACTCCATAAACAGCGAGCTTACTAAGGAGTCGCCGCTGAGACTCTTGTGTTGAAGGCTTTCTTGAGGTTCAAATATGTCTAGTGCAGCCTCTTGTTCAACCTCAGTGTCAATGAGTCAACTACAGGTATTTACAGCATTGTCTACCACTGATTCGTTGATTTTTAATTCATACTTTCCACGTACTGTAAAGTCTCAGTGCAATTTTGACGTTATTTCAGCCGCCATCATCATTCCGTACCTTAAATACTCTCTAGCCTGAGTCATTCTCACGCTTCCAGGTATAGGAGACATGAAGGAGCTTAACCCACAATCCTTTCAGACGTCGCACCTGAATTATGATCCCCGTAGCAAAAACCGTGCGCCAATAATAACCACTGTACTGTCGTTCCTCGTCCTCCTGACTAATGGTGAGTTCCCGCGGTCGATGACGT